CACCATGTGGCTGTGCTGAGGAAAAGGGCCCTTCTCCCTTCATTAACAACGCAGCCACGCTGCTGAGGCATCCACACCAACCCCCAACCCAAAGGAAGGAGGTCTTCTGCATACAGCAGTAGGTGTAAAGGACATCATTTTCTGCTCTGCTCCTTATAAAGTGCTGAGCAGAAACCTTTAGCTGCTAATAACAGATTTTAGGCATCGCTGCTTCACGTTAAAGAAGGAAAAGCAAGGCACCGACTCCTACAGCACCATATTTATCTTCCCATGCAGTGCAGAAACCACTCCAACCCGCTGTGCATGCCTGCACAGTGCTCTTTATCTAGAAAGACATGGAGAATTAAGACTATTTTTAGGAAACGAAGGCCCTCCTCCACAGTCACAGTGGGGACACACATCTATTCAGTCGTGATTTCAGAGCAGGAATATCCTATCTTGAAGAGCAAGATTTAAAAGGAAAGGCAAAAAAAAAAAGAAAAAGCTCAGGAAGGTTGACAGAAACACAGCGTGGCCCAAAGGAACGTGAAGGGCTGCTGGGTGCACACAGCTGCTGCACCGAGCCTGACAGCTCACTCCTGACATGCACACGTAAGCCAGACTGCACACTTACACTGCAGAATTTCCTCGCAGCACATGTAAATGCTGAGCAGCACGACGCAACGCTGCGTGACCAGGAGCGAGGAGCCAAGGGGACGTGCTCTGCTTCCTGCTGCCAGCCGAGCTGTGCCAACAGCCCCGCCGTACCATGCTCTTCAAATTGGCTTTTTTTTTTTTTTCTTCTTAATTCTGAAGTTGATGTTTGCAGGGCCCGGAGGCTCAGCACACGCAGCTGTGTGAGTCAGCAGTGGCTGACCCAGGAGCAGCACAGCCAGCCCCGGCTGCAGTCGTCAGACAAAGAGAAATGAAGCCATTAATTATTAAACAAGCTTCTCCATCAAAACCAAACAAAGGTTGGTATAAAGTGTATCAAGGGCCCTGCCAAGCTGATGGAGGAACGATTAAAATAATTGAACGGCATAATGAAGACTTGATGGGGAATCTAACACCTCCACCAGCCCCATCTTCGAGCGCACACCAATGCAGGGACTTTCAAGACACCAGGGCACAACAACTCATGTTTCAGAGCGACTCCAGCTCTGCGTCTGAGGGCCCTGCAAGGAGCAGAGGGCTCCGATGTCACCGTGCACTCAAGTCACCTACAATTACCAAAGTTACCTAGCTACAGTGTAATGAATATGCAAGCAGGATACGATATGGAAAGGTTCAGCAGTCTGACCTGCTGCAGCATGGAAATAGCCCACAGAGAAGGGCAGAGTGGTCCTGTGGTGAGTTACAGTGCACTGGATGGAAAGCAATTCAAACCAGGGAGCCCTGAGCAAGCTGCCACTGCCTCCATGGAGGACAGCTGAGGACAAACACCACGATAAAAGCTGGAGCATCTGACACCAGAAGTGGTCAGACAGTAACTATTCTCCCATAGGTACCCATGCAGGTGAGCCCATAAGTATTATCCATACTCACAATCATCTCCGGGAACTAAAACTGCAGCATGAGTGATGCTGTCTGAAGTCTACCTCGAGACAGCAATGCAGGTTGCACCTACACCCCTCAAAAACAGAGTGCACTGCTCCTCTGCCCACCTCAAAGCACAGAGCTTACTGCAGTAAAGCACTTCTGCTGCAACTTCATCCAATAAAGCACATGGGCCATTTCACCAGATTTAAGAGCTGAGGGACTCCCTGCACGCAGCAATAATCTGGGAACAGAGGAACCTGGTCTGCAAACTGACAGCTTGAGCACTGCTTTGACTTGCATCTTGTCTCTGGTTACAAAGCACCCAAGATGGGATTCCTCAAAAACAGGAAAATGAACAGTGATTAACAGCAGAGCACCATATGGATAAAGTAAGCATCCTGTGAAAACAAGATGACTGGGAACAAGCATCACAAAAATGCTGGTTAAATACAAGTAGCTCAGTTACCACACAGCCACAGGGCTGTCTTGAAAACCTGCACGTTTCCATCACCTGGAGGATGAAAAATGGTCAAGGACATTCAGCTACTTCTGTGCTTGCAGAGATGAGGTGTTATAAAACCACTGTAGGGAAGTACCTCTCCCTTCACTTTATTACGTGAAGATTAAGTATAAGGAAGACATTTCAACAGAGGGTGGTCCTACACTGGCAGAGGGGCCTGCAGAGGCTGTGCAGTCCTTGGGAATAACTCAAAGCTCAGCAGCAAGAGGTCCTGGCTGTCCTCACAGGGTGGGCCCTGCATCGTGCAGGGGGTTGGGATCAGAGGCATCTTCTGCAAGCCCCCAGTTCTGTGATCCTCAGTGAGCTCACTGCCCCAGCTCTCAGCTGGAGCCAGAAAAGAACCTTCTGGGTTGTACTTAAGATCTTAAAATGCTAAGCAAGAGTTAACTGCTGGATAAACAGAGCTATGTGAAGAAGCCTGTTCTGGGAAGCAGCTTTTCCAGGGAAGCAAGCTGCCACGGCAGGGCAGGGCAGGCAGGACAGCTAATCTGCTCCAGGCACCAGCTCGTTCCTGCAGGAGCACTGCCCAGCACTGAAAGGGGAGCTGAGGCCACGAGCTGGCCAGGAGCCTTTCCCACCATAACTATGAGCAAATTAGACACAGCACGAAATATTTTCCCCCCCCACCTCCATTTGGCACTGCTTTAAGGCACCAAACCTGTAGAGGAGACGGCACGAAACTTGAGCTAGCTGAAATAAGAGCAAGCTTATGGAGAAGACAGCCCACACCCAGAACCTCGGTCACAAGAGCCAGTGCTAACCTTTGATGAATTAATACTTACCTAAAGATACTCTCCTTGAAAACCTGTACAAGGTGATTAAGTTCTCATCTATACACACTAATTAGAGATAACGATAAATCTGCAAGTGGCAGCCTGCCAGTACTGTTTGGAAAGAGAGTTTTGCTCATTAATGAGACAAGTAGCTGTGCCATGCTTGAACACTGCTTCCCAACGCCAACATCACCTCTGGGCTGTGGATTTCCACATTAGCCAGAACACCCCACAACCTAAAAGAGACAGTCAATGGCAATTAGAATGTAGAAGCAGTCAAGGAGCTACTCAACCTTCCAAATGCCAGTCATTCAGAAGCAATGAGAAAGTCGTGGTTTTCCTGCAGATGAGTCTCCTGGCTGAATAGGATCAGCGATGTTCCAGGTGCTGTCCTGTAATTAAGTCCCAGGAAGAAGGCTGATGTGCATGAAGTTGATGCAGCATGCCCCCTGCTGTGCCCAGAGGACTAGTCCCACCCTTTCTCAGCTGTATTTTAACTATTCAAGCACAGTCCTGTGAAACACAGCTGCCTTTACCAGAGTCCAACCTCAGCCACCCCATAGAGAGAGCAGAGCCCAAACAGGAGCAGCCTGAGCCTTGTACCCTGCACACAGCATCTGGATGGGAGGAGGTCACTCCAAAGACCAGGGACCCCTTCCAGGTCAACAGTTTTGCTATCCAGCTCCCCATCTCCTTGCTAAGCTAAGCAAAGAAAAGCAGGAAATTGAAATAAGAAAAGCTTCGGTCTGCAGCTAAATCAATACACTCAAGGAAGCCACTTAGGCAACAGGGAACAGTGTTTTGATGGAGCTGACAAGCAAAAGGAAGTTTTACCACCTTCCTCAAGATAGTCCTGAAAACCCAACACCTAAATCATCACGGCAGTGCATCAGGAGAACAGTCTTCCAAAATTCAAATGGCACAGGTGCCAAAAGCCACAGAGAGGACAGCACAGCGTGGTACCTGCAAGGACACGATTTAACCTGTGCAGCCTTTGGTGGCACAAACAGAAAATTCTAGCATGCACCCCCAGAGCAGGGATGAGCACAAAGACCCAGCAGGCAACAGGAGACGTGGCTCACAGCAGCACAGGGCTTCCCCAGAACTCAGATCCAAACTCAGACTCTTTGTCAGTCAAGCAAACAACCAAGCAATTTCCTGACATAAATGAGGGATGAAACACGCTGCTGATACCTGGCTCTTCCTTCCTGCTATCAGGCAGCTAAAAACAGTTCTTAAAGAAAAAGAAATGCCCATTTCCCCAGGATTCTGTCACAGCAGCACCCTGCCACAAGCAAGCCAAGCTGACACCAGCAGGTCGGCGTGGCTGCCCTCTAACAGAGCTGGTTTCGAAAAGCATCACAGACCTCCCTTCCACTTATTTAAGAGAAACTTCACCCTGTGCTCTGCTCTCACACTCCTGACCCACAGCCGCGTTAACTCAGCTCTCCCTGGGCTCAATGAGGGGGGGAAAGGTTGAGGAGCTCCCGGCGGCAGAGGCAGCCCTCCCAGCACCGCACCACAAAGCATCGGTGGCCGCAGGGCTGCGAGCCCCCCTGCACAGCACTGCCAACTCACTTCCCTGAGAGCTTCCTGTCGTTTCAGCCTAAAACATGCAAAACTGCCTTAAAATAACCCTCGCTGCACAGATCTCGAGCAATCGCTGGAGAAAGCCACTTGTTTGCTCGTGACGGACCTGGCAGCGATACAAAGACAATATTCTGACGCGGTTACAAGAGGAGCACAGAGCTTCGGCAACTGCCCCGAAGGCACAGCTCTGCCCGGCCGCGTCTGAACGCCGAGCGTGCAAACACAGCGCAGGCTGCAGGGTCATTGCGGGGCTGCGCATAGGGAGCAGCTCTGAGTTTGGGGTTAAGCCTCAGGCGGGCAGACACGCCACGTTACGCTTATGGCCCTGACAGCCCAGGGCTGAGCGCAGGACTCGTGTCGAGTTTCTGCCAGCAGCCGGGCTGCTTCCATCCGAGCTGTGACCCGCATGCAGCGCGGGGTGAGCAAGGCAGAGCGGGGTTGAATTCGGGATGGGAAAAGAAACAGCTCCATTCAGCTCAATGGACCTCCAGACAACACCTGGAGCGACTCAAAGCCACAAACCTCCACGGAACACCGACACCAACAGACGGCACCGAGCAGAGCCCAGCGCATCGCACCGCGAGGAACGGGCACGGTACCTGTAGTAGCTGAGCAGCCCGTTGCTGAGCACGAACCAGCGGCGCTGGTAGCCCTTCAGGTAGTTGGTCCACTTGAAGAGCCAGCCCTTGTAGGTGTCGGAGCCCGGCGCCGCCGCCGCTCCCCCCGCCGCCGCTCCGCCGCCGCCGCCCCGGCTCCCCGCCGCCGCCGTCTCGGCGCTCATGGCGCGGCGACCGGAGCCCGGCAGCTCGTGGCAAGCCAAGCAAGGGACGGCGCTCAGCAGTGAGACCAGCCCGCGGGTGCTGCCGCTGCACAGCGCGGCCGCTTTCCCCATAGAACCCGCGGCGCGGCCCCGCCGCCCCGAGACGCTGCGCTGCGCTCTGCCGGCACCGGCGCGGGGCGGCGCCGCGGTGCGTCATGCGGTCACCGTGGGGGGGGGCACGGAGAGGAGGCGGGCACGTGAGGCGGCGCGCGGCGAGAGCGCCCCCTGGCGGCGGGGCGGGAAAGGCGCGCAGCCCCTCGGCCTCTCGGGGCGCGGCGTCCCGCAGCCCCCCGCCATTTTGCTCCCGCCGCCATTTTGCGGCCCCGCGCGCCTCCCCCCCCCCCAGCACTTCTTAGAGTCACAGAAGCGCAGAATCGCAGCGCAGTTTGTGTTGGAAGGGGCCTTACAGCCCCCCTGGTGCCGCACCAGATCAGGCTGCCCAGGATCTCGTTCCCCACGGTGCTGGAGCAGGCAGCCCCTTGTCTCCAGGTGCCCCATTCTCCACACGGCGCCCAACGAAGCACCGCGAGGACCTTCGTCACCCCAACAGCCCCCTCCTCTGTGCCTCCTCCTTCCCAGAGGCAGGGATCTCCTTTCCCTGATCTGGCTAATCTGCTCTTATCCCACTAATCACATCACAGCTTGCTGATCACCTGCACCTCTGGCAGTTCGTAGGAATGAAGGTCCTGTGAGCGAGGGTTGTTAGGAGCTGGGCTCAGACACATGGAGCAGCAATGGGAGAAGTGCCTCACCAGGCCCCTGACATCAGCCTTGGGGCATCTCCAGTGAGAACATTTGGCTTGGAGCCTGAGGATCTGGACCAGGCAGCTCCTAGGGTGGAAAAAGGATGCAGCCAGACTCTGCACACAGCTTCACTGCTCTCCCGAATCTGGTTGAACGCTTCCTCCCATCAGATCCCTCAGAGACAGCCTCAATGGCACTAGCAGAAACTGAGATGGTTCATAAGGGCATGCCCACTGTCTGAAAGCAGTCGGAGAGAAATATGGACTATAAAGGCATTGCAACAAAGGTGCGATAACAAAAGGACTGGCACAAAAGAGAGGTGCTATAAAGGAAGGGAAGAAGATTGCTCAGAAGATTCCAGGGGAAATCTCCAGCAAGGAGGGATCTCCAACCAGAGATCCTTCCCTGGTGGCAGCCAGCCCTTCAATGAGGCCTAAGAGAGGTGCAGCCAGGCTCCATCCCTTCCCATCACACAGCTGAATTGCCTTCATCTATTCTCCCAGGGCTGACCAGCTCCTTTCCCCAGGTGCTCCATCAGTGCTTCAGGTCATTCAACAGTTCCTGTAAACTGGAGATAACCTCTGGAAGCTTTAGACAAACTCAGACTGGAAGGCATCAAAATCAGCCCCTACAACACAGTGTCCTCTGCTGAAAGTTTAAAAACAGCGTGTCCAAATTTATTTATTTATTTTGCCAGGATCTCAAGGGCTGTAGCTGTTTGTAAAATCAAACCCTCTCCAGAGATGAAACATCTCTCTTGATGCAAGCATAACCATACTACTCACATGGGTACAAACTTCTGAAGGTTTCTACAGAGCTTAGAATCTCTTGTGGATGCAAAGAAGTGGAGAAACATCCTTAGATCATGCCTGAGTAGAGAGGAGTCTCACCTGATCCTGCCTGTCACATCCTTGAGTCCAGGCCTGAGTGATTTCAGGATGTGCTTGGCAACTTGCAGAGGACTGCACACAAGATGGCAGAAATCCTGTGATTTGTATTGAGCACGTTGAGGATGTGTCACAGTGAGCCCGTACTTTTAAGCAAATAAACAATCCAGGAAAATCTGGCAGGGCTTCTTGTAAGCTCAAGCCTTGAACATCTCCAGGGACTCTTGTCCTTAGCAAAATGGTCCCTCTCTGCCTCAGTTTGCATGGCATCGTGATCCATTTGCTACAAATACCCATTTATGAACAGAGGTAGAGAGGGAGCAAAGGACTGGTGGCTGTTGGGGATTTGCACCCAGCATCACTGCACTGTCCTGGGAAACGAATCTGCAGTGAAGAAACTCCAAAGTCAGGGAATACAAAACTGTCAATTGGAACCTGGGTCCAAATGCTGTTAGTTCCCGGACTTGTTAGATGCAAAGAAAATGTGAGTGGAAGTGCCATACTGGTAACATTAACAGCCTGGTTCCACCAAGAAAATGAAACAGGTAAGATAAAGCACTCTGTGTAATTGTATCCATGACCGGTTTCAGCTCTAAGGGGCAGAGAAGGGAAGAACTCTGGTATGAAGTTGCTACATGGCTACTGAAAATGAGAGGCAGAGAAGAATTAAATACATTTGACGCATGCCTCTATGAAAGGGAAAGGCTACAGTGTGCTCACAGGGCATTGAAAGCGGAGAATCCAGGGAGAAGCATGTTGTTGAAACTGGCACTGTTGTGTCAGTTCTCTTGTGGATCAGTGGTGATCCTGCAGCTTCTTCCTGTGGAAAGGGAAACATTCTCTCAAGTGCACACAAGGCGAAACCAAGCCAGGTGAAAAACTTCATCCTACCTTTAGGAATGATTTTATTCCCACCTTCAGTAACAACAGAATTGGAGAGAACCCAGTGTTTGATACACCTAGCCCAGTCCCTTCACCAGAAGACCTCCTCCATCTTTTAGAGCTAGCAAAGCTAAACCTAAAACAGTGAAACGTGTCTTCATGCCAATACTTTGTTATACTATGTGAGGCAGCTCCAGCCCTGGACTGTTTGGGCCTTACTGCAAATGCTATTTCAACCCTAATGCTTTTATCTGGAAGTGCTCTGTCTCAAAGAAGTCAGCTACTTTGACGGGAGAGAAAATAGATGTTGTGATTATTTCTTTTCCTTCTTGTCTTTGCCCTTGCCCTTGCCCTTCTTCTTCTTCTTTTTTGGCTTGAAGATAGACCGGATCAAGTAGCCTCTCCAGAAGGCCTGGATGCGGGTGGCAGCGCGGGTCATGACAGCCAATTTCTCCAAAGCCTGCTTCTTCTTCTCCTCATTTATCCTGCGCTCCTCCTCAATCTGGGAATACTCCTGGAGAAGCACAGCATGTTTCTCCATCAGCAGGGACAGCTCGGCCTTCTCCTTGGTGTAGGCAGCATGAACCTCCTCAAACTCAGCCTGCCAAGACAATACATAAATACAGAGATATTGAGGGCAATCAGCAGTTTCTCCCTATACATTCCTAGGTAAGGATTCTTTTACCCCTTCCAAATCCATGGGAGCTGAGTTGAACCCTTCCAAAGGGACTGAAAAGGAGGCACGTTCCCAGTACCCACGGAATTTCAAGAGAAGCCAGGTCCAAATGTCTTCATTCTCCTCTGAAAAAATACTCTCCTAGTTCTCCCTGCATTGTAGACAGCATCCATCCTTAGCTGGGAGCCTGACAGAGCCACAAGTCAGAGCCCCTCCTGCATATGCTCTGGGCAAAAAATGTTCCACTGAAAAGTCAGATCGTGTCAGCTTGCAAAACACCAAGGACAGGCGGTTTTAATGGTTTAACTGTACTGCAGAACTCAGCAGCAGTTTATTCCTTTTCTTTAGCAAGCCATGCCGAGCGGAAGGTTACAGAAACCAGCAATGTGGATGTGTGTCTTAGCAATTTCTGCCCCAAATCTGCTGGGACATCATGCTCCAGCCAGTCAGCAGACAGAAAACCAAAACACTTGGACATTACTAAACACTTGACAAGGGAAGAATCACAGGATCATTTCTAAGAATGAGCATACAGATCCTAGACCCCTCTCTACATTTTATTTTGCCAATAATCCAGTAGCTTTCGTTCATCTCTGTGAAAAGGCCAGGTACATGAAAGTAATTCAGGCCATCTCAGAGGTGAGGTTAGGGAGTGCTGACACACTTTTCAGCATGCTGTGTTTAACATGGATGCCAAGACAGTGGCATGCAGGCTGTAAAGTTTTTTAGCACTTGACTGACATCTCTTGAGGGGGGCAGAGGATATAGAAGCATGATTATAGAAACAGAACTGAGGGCCAACGGAACTGAGAATTGAAGCAAAAATGAAAGCCCTGTTCCCTAACAGCAGGAGGACTTGTCTGACAGAACGTGGCACTTCATCTTCACCCAGATTCTGCAGGATTCAGCATGGGATGCAACCTTTTCTAAAATAAAAGCAGTGGAGAACTTTGCCACACAAAGTTAGGACAATGATACTTCCTAATGCCCGTACTCCTACTGAATGGAGAACTGCCCCTCACATCCACAGCCTCCTGTGTGAGAGCCAAATGTCCATTTAATAGGGGTCTATCTGAATGTGTCAGAGCAAAGTGCTTTTGAGAGGATACCTGTTTTTCTGCCATGTCTGTGTCATATGCCTGGACCCAGTTCAGAATTTCCGTCTCCACTCTGCATTTTCTCTGAAACAAAACAAGATAGGTTACTTGCAGGCACTTGAAGCTTGGTGATACAAAGCTGGGAGGAGTGGCTGACACACCATAAGGCTGTGTTGCCTTCAGCCAGACTTGGACAGGCTGAGAGTTGGGCAGAGAGGAACCCGATGAAGTTCAACAACAGAATCCTATACCCAGGGAGGAAAAACTGTGCACATCAGTACAGGTTAGGGCTGAGCTGCTGCAAAGGAGTTCTGTAGAGAAGGACCTGAGTGTCCTAGTGGACAGCAAGGTGACCATGAGCCAGCAATGTACCCTGGGAGCCAAAAAGGACAATGGTATCTCAGAGTATATTACAAAGAATGTGGCCAGCAGGTCAAGGGAGGTTCTGCTTCCCTCTGCACTGCCCTGGGGAGGCCACATCCAGAGCACTGTGTCCAGTTCAGGGCTCACCACTTCGAGGCAGACATGGAACTGCTGGAGAGAGTCCAGCAGAGGGCCACAAAAATGATGAGAAGCACAGAGTATCTCCCTTATGTGGAAAGGCTGAGAACCCTGGAGAAGAGAAGGCTAAGAGGGGTCTTACCAATGCCTATGGTATCTAAGGGGTGGTGTCAAGGGGATGGAGCCAGGGCTCTTTTTGGTGGTGCCCAGTGACAGGATAAGGGGCAGTGAGCACAAACTGGAAATGAGAAAGGACTTCTGGACTTTGAAATAAGCTTCCCAGAGGTGGCAGAATCTCCTTCTCTGGAGATACTCAAAACCCACCTGGATGTTTTCCTGTTCCTGCTGTAGGGAACCTGCTTTAGCAGTGGGGTTGGACTAGATGACCTCTAGAGGTCCCTTCCAATCCCTGTGACTCCATGATTCTGTGTAAAATCCTGAGTTAGAAAACAGCATCATAGCTTTGAGCTCTAGCATCATTGTATTTGAGTAGAATATCTCCTCTTTGTGGCAAGCTTGTTTCAGCTGACCTATATTTTGTTCCTGATTTGGAGATTCTTATGGAACAGACCTCCATTGCCTGAGTCCAAAAACACCCTATTTGCTCTATAGTACAGAGCTGGATGAGGGCTGAGGATTGAAACCCATAAGAAAGGTGTGTTCTGTGGTAGGAAATGAAAACCTCTCATGGAATGAGGCAAGTCATCAACAAACTGGGGCAACCACCCTAGAACTGAAGTAATAGAGAAATGGTAAACATGAAAGCCCTACAAATATGGAGTCTCTTAAATCTAAGAGGTATTTCTAGGTATAAGACAGTTTTACAGCAGCCTAACCTTGTACTATAACCAAGTATGCTGTATTTGTACTCTGTGAGAGATAGATCAACCAGAGCCCACCACAAGCCACATGATTTCCTGTATGACACTGGCCCACGGGGTTCCAAGCCATCATAGGTCAGATGAGGCACTTCTCAGCTATTGGCACGACAAAGTTAATTTCAGGCCAATCAGGGGTACAGCACATGTTAAGGAAAGGGAAAGAAGAATCTCTGTGGTCAGTAAATCTCTCTGTGTGAGCTGAGCAACTCCTCGCAACAATCACTGCAACAGCCTGGCTGCCTCAAAAAATAAAAATAAATAAATAAATAAATAAAAAGGCTGATAAAGCCACTGCATTAAAAGAGCTGCAGTTGGATAGCTTGGATTTTGAACTGTGGCTCTAACCTGCATTTGATGCTTTGTCAACTGCACAGCCTCTGAACTCCAACTAGAGCACAACCTCTCCATCGTGCAGTGTCACAGCACTATTCAGGGGAGTTTCCAGAGGTAGCTCAGGGAACAAGAGGAGGAACTGTGAGCAGGCTACTTCCCAGCAGCACTGCAGGCTTGCTTTCTGCTGAAATCAGCAGAGCATGAGGACAGCACAGGTACACTCTGACAAACAGCATGTGCATCCAGGAAATGGCAGGAACAAAATAATCACTTGCAGCCAGTCCAAGCAGCTCTACAACAGGTTTTACCATTTACCTTTCTGAGAGCCAACTCTGATGCTCGATGCTCCAGCACCTGCTTATTGAGCTGTTCTTCTAGCTGCTGAATGTCCTGCTGTAGCCTGGCACACCTGGCCTGGGAAGCTCGCAGCTCTTCTTTTTGCTGTTTTTCACCTTCCTGCTTGACCTGCAGGATGTTGTTCTTGGAGCATTCATCTAGAACTTCCATGCTGTTTTTGAGATCTTTGATCATATTGTCTTTGTTCTGAATCTAGACACAGAAAACCAGAAGGAAATGTCATCAGGGTGTGCAGGTGAAACATAAAGTGGTCAGGAGAAGAAAGACACAGTTGCAAAGGTGGAGGTGAGTGTCAGACTCACACTGCAGGCTGAAGAAGCCTGCCTTGTCTCTAGAGCAGCCAAGATCATCCCTTTGGTTTCAGGTAAGGCTTGGAATGACTGCCTGGTGGACACAGCTCAGATGGCTGCCTCTAAGAGAGATCCTCAGCTGGGAGCAGTGAAACACACTTGCTTGTTATGCACTGACAAGCTGCCAAACTGCACATAAAAATCTCATGTGTCTCAATTCACAGATCTCCAAGGGGTGGTAGGGAATGAGAAAAGCAGGCCCTCGTCTCCATCAGAACCATTCAGTGCAGTGAGCCTGAGACAAAACCTTCCCTTCTGACCCCTCCTGCAGAAAGAAGACAAGCACACACATAAAACAAGGGATTGCTTGTCAGGAGTCCAGGGCTTGAATTCTGGCTCAGCCCACGGACTCACGAAAAGAGCCTGGGAAATGCCCATTAGTTAATCCATACCTCAGCTGCCTTCACTGGGAAAAAAAAAAAAAGAAAAAAAAAAGAAATTATATCATCACACATTAATTATAAATGCTCCAAGGTAGCTAGTATTAGAGTTGGAAGTCTCAGAAATATTAGTTTTAAGAGTGAAGGCAGTGCTGGCATGAAAAAATAGATTTTAATCAGAATGATCTCTCCCTGGAATGACTTTCCAACATTTCATCAGCAGTGAATGGAGCCTCTCCCTGGCAGCTGACACTGTAACCCTGCTGAAATACTACTGCAGTAATTTGTGCCTGTCCTGCAGCTCCTTTTTAAGCTCAGTAACTTGTGCCATTGAAGTTGGCTTGTGAGTTTCAAAACATGCCAACTTTAAACATGAAGCATTCAATAAACATTTTCAAATTATATTTAGAATCCAATTTAGAAATCATTTCTGGAACCTCCTCTTTAGGACCTGCAAGAAAGGGATCGTTTTTCAGCTTACTGAAGTTTTGCTTCAGTGACCCTTTGTCAGAAAACATATTCTCACACTGTCATACCTCCTCATCTCGGGTCCTGATTGCTGCTGCCAGTTCTGCCTGCAAAGCTGTGATTGTTTCAGTGTTTTTGTTGATCCGGAGGGAGATGTTTTCCATGAGCCGAACCGTTTCTTCCTCTTTTGTAGGACTAGTAAGGAGTCGCTCAAGCATGAAATTCCTGAACTCCCCAAAGGCTTTGATAAATGCTTCAGTTGCTGGCTCTCTTGCTGGCTCTCTTGCCCAAACTTCATATTTCAGAGCCTTACAAAGTGAAGGGGTGGCCAACAGGAGTCTCAAGATATTTCTAACAGAACATTTCAGATGTTGTCCCAGCAAGTGGAGAGAGCCCCTTTGATTTGCAGCGTCCTCTTCTTCAGCAGCAACGAGCAGCTGCTCCATTTGCTTTGAAAGCTTCTGGTACTCCACCAGGTTGGCTGTGATCTCAGGTCCCAGCAGATCAGCAAACCTGTCCAGAGAGCTGATAATACGTGGGATCAGGGAGCTCAGCTCCAGCTTGGCAATCGTCTCATCCAAGACGGATAGGATTCTTTCTGTCTCAATGCTATTAGGTTTCAACCACCGCAGATCTGACACCTTCACGGCGTCTGCTGCCATCATTGCCTTCTCTGCAGCCCCTGTGCCCATTGCCAGGGATTTGTTTCTTTCCTTTGCGTCCTGCGCTGATACTCGGAGCACTGGAACACAGCTCCCATTAAACACGCGGGGACTTCATTGTTTTCAGGTCTAGAAGAGACACAGCATCTCCTACACAGGCCCTCGGTGTACGGCCACGAAGGCACGGCGCTGCCAGCAGGGCTGACCGCTGCCCCAGGAGGCTGTAAGCAGCCACGGCCGTGAGCACAGCGGCGGGACGGCAGCAAGGGGCTCCTGGCTTTCAAGCCGGTGCGGTGAGAGCTCCCAGCTCCTAAGCAGCAGCTGAGGCAGAGATCAGACTGCAGCTCTGCAACCCTCGGAAGGCTGTGAGAGGAGGCTCGCAGTCTGTGCGGCCGACAGAAGGGCGGTACGGAGCCGCGCTCCCTCACGCTTCGCTCGCTGCCGACCGGACCGCGCTGCCGCCGGCGTCCCCCGGTCGCTAGGCAACCCGTGGGCGGGGCGGGCTCTTTCCCGACACCTTGAAACCACTCAGCGTCTTCGCTCGCTTGACGGGCAGTGCTATTATCCAATGAAAAGCGAGGAGAGGCCGTGACGTAGCCGGGCGGCCATTTTGGGGGCGGTGGCAGCGGGTGGGTTCAGGCGCAATGGCTGAAGTCGCTGTTCGCGGCGGGTTTCCAGAAGCACGGAGATGTGGCACTGAGGGACGTGGCGGGGCTCGGTCAGCAGTCGGACTACGTGATCTTAGCGGTCTTTTCCGGCCTACGATTCCATGAACCAAGTGGCTCCCAGCTGTCAGCCTGCCCACACCCGCTGCTGCCCACGTGGCGCTTTGGGCAGAGCAGCTGGTCTGAGCAGTGCTGCACCTGCTGGCCCTGCAGCCTCTTGGGCGAGGGAAGGCATCGTGCACATCTCTGCCTGCCTGCTGCTACAGGTGGCAGCCGGGACCTGGGCTGGGTGGCAGCGCTGGCTGCTGTTGGGATTTATCCTGCCCTCGGCTCCAGTCTCAGCCACCAGCACCCTCTGCAGGCAGCAGAACTGTCAGGGCGCTGAGATCAGAGCACGAAGCCTTGCCAGCAGCCCCTGCACGACCAGGTCTGGGGATCAGCCAGCGCCCAGACCCAACGTGCCAAGGGTGCAGCGCCGGCACGATTTGATCACGCAGGTGTCTGGACCAATCTCAGAAGCCCACACGCACTAAACTTGCCCATTTCTCCCAGTGGTTTCCAACAAGGAAGACCCAGGGGCAGCCAGCAGAGGCCACCCCAGTCTAACAGCCTCCAGGCTCCTCCAAAACTCTGCTGCATTATTGGCATTTCCATATTTTTCACCACGCTTCTTTCTTTATAGAGCCTCTCCAGCCAATCGATGTAGGCAGACACCAGCCTGTCCCCAGTGCCAGCATGAAAGAAGAAATTTATTATGTCCAGGTGCGCTGTCCTGATGCTGAGCATTTTAAAAACAAGCGTATGAATCTCTTGTAAGGAAAAGCAGAATACACTCTATGCTGCAGCACCGCAGCAACCAGGGTGGGGAATCAGGGTAAATACCTTCAGTGCTGTGGTTTGTCCACAAGCTGACCTCCATCCTGCTTTGGGGATTCTACCTTTACTCTGAATATCCCTGGTTTGGGATAAGGACAGAGGAAAGTCAATAAATTCTACTTGAACTTCTGCACCTGCTTCTGCACCTTGAGGTGCAGAATACCTCATTCCTTGTTTTTTTCCTATCTAGTTGCCTTAAGTTACCAACCTTTCTTCTTTTTCCAGTGAGGGGTTTGTCTGCACCCTTTGACTCTCTGATCCAAGCAGCCATGACACGTGTTTTGGATCCTCTCTAAAGGCACAGGAAGGAGAGACCAAGACAAGCCCCAAAAAATCTTCTAGTGGCTTTACGTTACTGTTCTATTGCCTCAGAGGAAAGCAATCCTTTGGAATGGTTTTTTTCCTCTTACAGCTGTGCTGCTGCCCAGCCCATGCCCCAGAAAAACAGCCTTATCTGTATCAAAGGGGTAACATCCAATGACAAGGGATGGTGCAGTTTATTGCTGTAGCAGGCTGAGCACTGGATTCCAGGAAGAACTAGCTGAAAATCCAAGCATTCAGTTCGGCACAGCCTGCGGGAGGAGCTCTCTAGATGTTTTTCCCAACCCCTTCTGGCTCAGCAGCGTTGTGCCCATGTCCCTTTGCTTGCAGCCTGGCCACAGCAGCAGGGGCAGACGGCTTTCTACCTCTGCGGCTGAACACCTCCAGAGATTTTTCAAACCTTTCTGATGCCTTCTTCCACCGTGCTGTTTTTCTCTCCTGCTCTTTCACAAATTGCTGCTGCAGCTGTTGGTGGTAATGTTCAATCTTCTTTTTGGCCTCTTCCAAGTGCTTTACCTTTAAGAAAGTGCTTGTCTCTATGAAGGAAGACATCCTGCCAGATCCCTCCCTGCCACAAAGGTGACCTCAAAGCTCCAAAGAAGCTCCAAAATCCATAAATATCACTTTAAACATTGATCTGATTAAAAAAATAAAAATAAAAAAATGGAATCATAGGATCATTAAGGTCGGAAAAGACCTCCAAGATCACCAAGTCCACCCCCAACCCATCCCCACCATGCCAGCTAACCATGTCCTTCAGTGCCACACTGCAGGAGCTGCCCATCTACCAAAGCAGCACTGGTTTTGCTGATACACTCGTGCTAATTCACTCACAGCAGCTGTGCTGCCCCAGCTCCTTGAAACCCATAACACTACATGTTCTGCTGGGCACAGAGCACACAGGTGACCATCAGCCCTGGTTCAGGAATGAGGGAATGATGAACAGAGGAAAAGACATCTCAGCTCCATCCTGTGAGGCTGCTGATGAGGATCCTCAACATGTCAGTGTCCAGCTCTGCCTGACGACACCCTAAATCGTAATCGACTTGACCTGGCATCCCCACTTCCTGCAGGAGAGGGCGTCTCACCTGCCATGGCTCTCAAACTCATCACTGCTCAAAGCACGAGGCCCTAAAGGGCCAATCAGGCAGCTGAGATGATGTAAAACCTTTGACTCATTCCCATTCCTGGGAGGACAGGTGTCAACATGTTGCCTATGTCTCATCGAAGGGCTATTTTAGGAATGACATCTAAGGGCAGATTCGGTCTGACCACTCCAGTATTTGTTTCCCTCTTTGCTGTGTAGAGCCCCAAAGCAGATAAAGCCCCTGGCATCTGCATTTGGACCTGGCAGGCTGAAGATTTAAGGGCTGAAGTGATGATTTCAGGGTTCTGAGGAACTGGGAGCAAAGCGTTTGCACAAGACATTCTTCAGCCGTTCGTCATCTGTGGCTCTTGCTGCCAGGGGATGAGGAACTCCCTCCATTTTTTTCCAAAGCACAGCCTCCAAAACACAGCAGAGAGCAGAGCAAGCCCTCCCCTATGCTGGCAGGATGGCAGCCCAGGGGAGGGAAGTTATCACCTTCTTCTCCAGGAGCAGCAGGGTATGGTGGCTGGAGCGGCCAGATGATCGGGACAGGGAGCTGCGGAGCTCATGGTCACCCAGCCTGATGTCAAAGTCCACACAGCTGCTTCGAGCAAAGGGAGATCAGGTCACACAGAGTGGGGTACAAGCAATGCCTTTTTTGGGGTGCATGCAGACCTGGTGTGGTTGTGTAACGGGTTCCACCATCTCTAATCTGGTGTGAGGGGTCCCATGGATCCCAACCAGTGGGAGGGGTCCCACAATCCACACGATGATGTGAGGGGTCCCACCATCCCCATACTAGTGTGAGGGGTTCCACAGCCTCAGATCGGTGTGTTCTAAGCCTCCAAACTATATGAGGAGATCCCACCACCTCTAGAATAGTATGAGGCAGTCCTCCCATCCCCATATTGGTGTGAAGGGTCCCACCAATCCCAACCAGTGTGAAGGGGTCCCATCAATTCCACAATGGCATGAAGGAGCCTCACAGCCCCCAGCAGTTTTGAGAGCTATGCTAGTGTGAGGAGTCCTACCACCCCCAGAGCAGTATGAAGGGTCCCTCACCCCCTCACCAGGCCCTGGTGGGCTCCCTGCTCTCGGGTGGTGGGAAGAAGGTGACACGGGGCCGCACACCACCCAGCTCCTCCATGGCCCCACGCCCCCCATTGTGCATGCAGCGCTACCATGGAATCAGTGGAGTGGGGAATACGGCCCAGCCACTGCAGTGTGGGGCTGGCAGGTGACAGAGAACAGGGAACACGACACAGGACACTGGAGACAGGGCTGGCCATGCCCCAGCTCAGGCTAGTCCTGCTCCATGTACTCATGGTAGTGTTCCCACTGTGAGCCATACTGGGGGCTGGGTTCAAAAATGAGGCAAAGCCTCATTAATGATGGCTTAATGAGAAGCATCCATGTGGGTTGGTCATGGCCAAGGATGAGGGGAGGAACTGTCCATGGTGGAACAGGCTGCCCAGAGAAGCTGTGGATGCCCCATTCCTGGAGGCATTCAAGGCCAGGTTGGATGGAGCTCTAGGCAGCGTAATCTAATGGCTGGCAACCAGCTCATTGCAGGGAGGTTGCAACTAGATGATCTTTAAGGTCCCCTTCAGCCTACGCTCTGTATGTGGCCATCTTTGCACTTACACTCGACACTGTTTGTTTCCCAGGGAAGAAGGAGGAGCAGCAGTGGCCACTGCTGCTCGACGAAGGCGCGGGCTATGACAGCCGCGCTGCACCTCCATAGGCACAGGCTGTCCCGCATCACCCCCTGCCTCTACCTCAGCGACGGCATGGCTGCAGGCAACGCACAGCTCCTGGCTGCCAACCGCATCACCACCATCATCAACGTCTCCCTTGAGTTGGCCAACATGTTTCACCCTGGCATTGATTACCTACGCATCCCGGTGGCCGACACCCCCACAGCCCGCATCTCTGCCTGCTTCAACTCCGTTGCCGACTTGATCCGCAGTGTGGGTGAGCGCGGGGGCCGCACGCTGGTGCACTGCGCAGCCGGGGTGAGCCGCTCAGCCACCGTCTGCATAGCCTACCTGATGAAGCACCACGCCATGTCACTGGCCAGTGCTCATGCTTGGGTCCGCTCGTGCCGGCCCATCATCCGGCCCAACAACGGCTTCTGGCGGCAGCTCATCCACTACGAGTATTTGCTGTTTGGCATCAACACCGTCCACATGGTCCACTCACCCTTTGGGATGATACCTGACATTTATGAAAGGGAAGCGAGGATGATGTTCTGAGTGTGGCCCAGCTGGGAATCAGGGGAAGCAGAAGGTGGAGTTGCAGCAGAGCTCGGAAATAAACTCTCGTTGTCTGCCAGTGGTTGGAGTCTCTGCAGCTACAGGAGGAGGGACGGGGCTGTGAGCAGAGCCCATGTAAGTAAGGCCATACAGCATCATTCATGCCATGGTCCCGTTGGCAATACTGAAGCCACTCGTCACGTGCTGGTGTTGTTTTATTTCAGCACAAGCTGTGCTTATAAAACAGGGCAGAATCTAGCTGCAACTCAGGGAGTTCAGAACAGTACCAATGTTTGTTTTTCCTAATTGGGATATGACTCTGGGTCCTGACACAGCAGACCAAAATCTGTTCTTCTGCTGTGGTAGGGAGAGGCCAGGAGTGCTGGGAGTGCAGTGCAGTGCAGTGCTGGGAGTGACCTATGACATCCTGCTCCTTGCTGCTGACCCCTCTTCCTCCCCTACCAGATTCCCCAGGCTTGGATGCAGCAGTGCAGGTGTGGTCTCACCCCCCACTTCAGGAGCATCACCCAGCATGTGACAGAGGGACAGCATTTACTCAGCCAGACTTTGTCCCTGCTGCCTCCCATCTGCAGATCCCTCCCTGCTAGCACAGCCTTACCCTGGGGCAGCAGCTAATCCCTGTACAGAACATTTCAATGGTGCACTCTTAGAAGGGGCTGGAAGAGATGGTAAAGTCCCCACACTGGGGACACAAGAGCCATGGGGGTGTCAGAGGGCATGGAGACATGGCAGCTCACTGCCTTCTGCAGGGATGGAGTCAGGAGCTGCCCCGTGCCTGTGCCCCTTTGGGACACCCCAACATCAGGAATGCCACCAGGCTGAGGTCATGGCCTGAAATACTCAAAGAGGGGACAGCCAACAGCACTACAAAGTGTTAAAAAGAGGGCAAACCAGGCAAAGACATGGTGCAGTAGGATCCTGGCCCAGTCCTGCTCTTCCAGCCCCTGAGGTCAGTGTGTGTGCAAGGCTGTGCTGGGGGCTTTTCCTGATGTCCACAGTGTGGTTTGCCCTTCAGAAGGAAACCCAAAACGCCATCTCGTCCTTCCTGCTATGGAAAAGCCTCTGAAATCTGAGCCCTAAAAGCAAACAGGCAGAGGGACGGACACAGCTTGTCCTGCCAAGCCCTTGGTAAGGGCACAGGCTGGTTCTGATAGCTCAGTGCCCCTTGGGCACTTTGTGGGATGGGCACCACTCCAGCCCTTGGGAAGCTGGCACAATGGCTGTGGCCCTGTGGCACTATGGTGGCCCTGCTGGGAAGGAGCTGTTCCCAGGGTATTTCTGCAAGCAGCCTCAAGACTCACCATCCCAACAGGTGGAAGAAAGACAGCATTTGAGTCCGGAGCCCCAGCACATGCGAGGTGGCTCAGGCTGAAGTCTCTTGTCACAGCCTCCACTGGGAGCGGGGGCTCAGACGGTCTGGGTGCGAGGTCATGGCAGCCAAGAATGGAGTATGACAAAAATAGAGCTTTATTTCAGAGCTGTCCCAGTGCCACTGCACCTCCTGGGGAATACATGTGGGTGTGCATCAGTGTCCAACGTGTCCACCGTGCCATCACTGACAGCAGGAGGGTGACAACATTGGGAACACCAGCATTGAGGTGGCACCTTAAGGGTCCAACACCCTCTGTCCCATGGGGTCACGAGCTATGTGCACACGTGCACCAGGCTCACTCCACCCAGCAGAGCTCAGTAGTGATGTGCACATGTGCACATACACAGAAATGTGCTGGCACACACAGAATCTGTGCACACACTGAGCCTGTGTGCAGCAGCTTGTGCATGCATCCCCCCCTGTAAGGATCTGCACACACACATTTGTGCACAGACACTTGTGCACGCACTGACAGGTTCATGCTCTCATGCACAAAACTGTGCATGGACACACAGTCTGTGCACACCAGCACACATCTGCACAACACTCCACACGCATAGACTGCCCAGCAGCACACGTGCCCACATGAATGGGACCTGTTTGCACACGTGGAACCTTCACGCACCAACACTCACACACTCCTTGCACACACTGCCATGTGCAGAGACACACTCACACCTGCAGAGCCTGTGCACAACAGCACGTGTGCCCCATGCACAGAGCTGTGCACACAAATGCTTGTGTGTTCAGAACACGCACGCACTGAGCATGCACGTGGCCACATGGACCAACATATGTGCTTGCACAGTGTGCACACCAAACACGCATGTGCATACATTGCTATGCACACCAGCACCTGCATGAGGACACAGAGCTGTGCACACCAGCATACTTGTGGGCATATTGTACCACACACACCAACACAGATGTGCTACAGAGGGGTTGTGCACACCAGCACACACATGTGCACGTTGCCACACACACCAGCACACACATGCTGGCACCGTGCCATGCACACCAGCATAAATGTGTGCAAACAGTGCCACACACACCAGCACTCACACATGGACGCACTGCCTTGCACACCTGCACACGCACACAGCACACACACAGTGCTGTGCACCCCAGCACATATGCATGCACACCGTGCCATGCACACCGGTGCACGCAGAGCTGTGCAAATCAGCACAGTTTTGTGCACGCAGTGCCAAGCACACAGATGCACTGCAGCATACGTGTGCACACAGTGCCATGCACACACCAGTGCACGCAGAGCTGTGCAAATCAGCACAGTCCTGTGCTCTCGGTGCCAAGCACACCAGCACGCGTACGTGCAAACAGAGCCTTGCACACCAGCTCACGCAGAGCTGCGCCACACACAAATCCCACCACCTCCATCCCTACTGGTGCCGGGGGGGTCGGTGCTGCAGCCACACGGCCCAGCGCCGTGCAATGAGCTGTGGCTGCTGGTACATGAACATCCCAGCCAGCGTCAGCGCGATGCCCAGGTAGCTGAGGGCACTCAGGCGGCTGCCGAAGAGCAGGCGGGAGAGCAGCAGGTTGCCCACCACCGTGATGTTGCCCAGAAGGTGGATGGTGAGGGCGGAGGTGAGGGACAGGACGCAGAAACTGGCCAGGTTGTAGAGAACGGAGCCCAGGCAGCTGAGCAGCACGCAGCCCCAAAGCGAGCCGTCGTAGCGCAGCACGCCCTGCCACGCCGGGGCCACCTCCAGTGCCACGGCTGCCCCAAAGAGCAGGCAGAAGCTGGGCAGGGCGGTGAGGCACAGCAGGGACACGGCGTCCAGGCGGCCCTCCTGCAGCAGCAGGCCTGGGGGGGACAGGGCAGAGTTAGATAGAGCTCCTGCTGGGGTAAAACAGCCCAAAAATCACTAGGAGAGGAGGTGCCCTCAGCCCACCCCGGCATCCCATGGCACTGGGGGTGAGTGAGTCCAGGGTGGCACATGCTCAGCTCTCATCTCACCACAGTGCCCATGATGGGGCCAGAGGTGACACATAAGTTCCCAGGCTATTCCACCCTGTCCCCACCCACATCCTAATCCCAAAGTCATCCCACCTTCATCCTCATCCCTATTTCCCTCCCAAACCCCATTCCATCCCCATCCCCGTCCCATAGCCCTGTGAGTCATGGGCTGTGGCCACAGCAGTGATGCCCATGTGAGTCATGGGTGGAGGAAATGCTCCCAGCCCTCCAAAAAAACAGTGTGGTCAGGGTGCTTCTCCCCACCGCCTGCCAAGGACATCATGGCCTGGGTGGCTCCACTTCTCCATCCATGGCCAGGGGCCCTGAGTGGGGACAGTGCAGCTCCACATGGGGACATGCAGGGGATGGGGATGAAGGGATGGGGGTGGGATGGTGGTTGGGATTGGGATGGGACAGGGATAGGATGGGGATGGGACCAGGAGCAGGCACAGACCGGAGGGCAGGGGAACAAGGTGGTCACACCGAGGTGACAGTGGGCGATGCTGGGATTGGGGTGACACTGGGGAAGGGGTGGAACAGGACATGGGGCAGGCAGGGGGTGGCGCTGGGGCCAAGGGGTGACAGCAGGGCCACCAGGTGATGCTGGGACAGGGCTAGAGGGAGCAACAGTGACACCAAGAGCATCCCTGGGGCCCAGAGCACCACGACGGTTGTGGTGCCACAAGTGCTGGCACATCCCTGGTGCAGCATCACCGGGACATCCCGAGGGCAGACAGGCGGCACTTACTCTGCTGCAGCGACTTGAGGGCACGCAGGACGGTGGCAGCCAGGAGGACGCAGCCCCCGGGCTGGTGGAAGCGGACACCTCCGGCGATGCTGCACACAGCCCCGGCGCAAACCGGTCCCATGGCCGCGTATTGCAGCGGATGGTGCCGGCGGCCCCGCAGCAGCGCCGACAGCAGCAGGGTGGCCAGCGGGGCGGTGGCATGCACGGCCTGAGCTGCGTCCAGCGGCACCAGGCTCAGCCCCAGGTTGCCCAAAGCCACGCTGCCGCAGAAGGTGAGGCTCAGCAGGTAGATCCGTGCGCGGGGCCGGACGGGCGGCGGCGGTCCTCGTACCCAGCCCAGCGGGTAGCCCAGAGCCACGGCCGCCAGCATGTGCAGGGAGGAGAGCAGCAGCGGGTAGCGGAAACCGTGGGCGGCGAAAATCCATTTGTTGAGGCCGGCCAGAGCGGTGCCGGTGCCCAGCCACGCCGCGACGGTGAGCACCAGCCGTAGCGGCGGTCGTTCCCCCGGCTGCCCCTGGTCCGGTCTGCGGGGACGGAGGGTCCCACCGGCGGCCATCATCGCTGCTTCATCTCCACCGGGGCACCGAGGACACATGGCCGGGATGGACGAGCGGTGGGTTCAGCCGTGGGGTGCCATGTGCGAGCAGCGCCGGTGCGGAGGAGCAAAGTTTGATGGCGGGGAGCGAAGGCGGGCAGGGTCCTCCCCGGCAACCAGCGCACGTCACCGCGGTGCGGGCGGGCGAGCGGTGATGCGGGAGAGCGGAGCGGCGGGGATGATAACCGCGCGGGGAGCTGGGAGGCGGCGGCCGCGCATCCCCAACAGAGCCGGGGGAGCGGCGACGGCGGAGCAGGGACGGCCTTCCCGCTGACGGAGCGGCTGCGTCAGTGTCCCCGGGTGACTCATGGGCGGGCGCCGTGGCTCGCAGGCCTGGCACCGGCATCAATCCCCGCCCCGTACGGGGCTCGCTGCCAGCTACGCCCCCGGCACTGGCTTTGTTTGGGTCGAGTCCAGGTAAATTTGGGACTGAAGCATCCCAGTGCTGAGCCCCACCGATCCCAGAATGATCCCCACCGATACCATCACCCTCAACCCCTGGGGTGGGGGCAGACAGTTGCACCTCAGCTGCTGAAATCCCCGTGATCCCCACTATGGTGGTGGCCCTGCATGGGGCACGAGCAGCTCCAGGGGGTCGTGCACTCTCAGGGGCATTGAGCACACCAGAACCCGGAGGCTTTCAGCCACCCGAGCAGCAATGAGACCACGGAATTCCGAGCATGGAGCCCGGCTGTGCCCACCCCCCACCCCCATCTTCCTGCCCAGTGCACAGAGAAAGCACGGCACAGCCAGGAGGTTCTGCAGTATTTCATTGCCATCATCCCCACAACCAGCCCCACTACCACTTGCTCAGGTGCAGGATGACAGTGTTTCCATCCTTCGGTCTGTAGTCAGCAACACCTGCAGGGAGACACAGTGGCCAGGGTGGCAGTGAGGCCGCAGGGACAGGGACACATCCCTGTGCCCCCATATCTCTGTGTCCCCCATCACTCACCCATCTGCAGGCTGGTTCCGAGCCCGCTGAGCAGCTGCCAGTAGTGTTGCTCCTTTGGCCTCGCAGCCATGCCCTGCACTGAGGTCAGGAAGGGGCCATATGCAGTGTCCTGAGTCTCAAACCTGGGGGCAGAGCAAGATGAGAGACCTGGGAGTCCCGGGGACACAGCGGAGTGGATGAGGACAGGACGACAGGCTCAGAGCCCCCTGACCATAGGACCACTCACGTGAAGTTTTTAGATCCCTGTGGTGGGGCTGCCCTGAGCAGGTCCAGAAGCGAGGCCCCGGTGGGCGCAGACACCGTGCTGTCATACAGCAGCTGCTGGGGACACCCCGGCACCGGGCACTCCACCACCAGCCGCACTGTCATATTGCGTGGCTCCAGGGGCATTGACTCCAAGAAAATGGGTGTCAATGTGTCTGTGACAAAGAGCCACGGTGGCATCACTGCCAGCCCCGCGCTGGCCACCCAGTGCCCCATGGCCCCTGCTCCTACCCAGCTCCTCCTGGCACTGCATGGAGGCGATGCTCAAGTAGCTGCGGCTGTTCAGAGCGAGCAGCGCTTGGGCCATGGTGGCAGCACTGGTGAAACTGTCCAGGTGACGCAGCAGTGCAGCCATGGCACGGCCGTATGCTGGCTGCGTCCTGCACATGTTGGTGGCGATGAAGACCTGGGAAGGGAGGAAGGAAGGAAGTGCTCAGCACAGGGCTCAGGCTCAGACCTGCACCAACAGCCGCCTATGCTCCTGCACTTGCTCCATGCCAATGCCCACGCTCACCTGCATGGCCAATGGAGTGCTGAAGGTGTTCCCAATGAGGCCGTCTACACTCTGTGCCTCCACCAGCCTCACCCTGGTCCTGCGCACAGCCGCCCGCAGCTCTGCTGCCAGCCCAGCCCTGATGTGTTGCTCCTTCTCCAGGCAGGCGAAGGCCAATGCTGCCACTGCCTCTGTGTCTGCAGGGATGGCTGTGTCACCCCAGATGCTGCACGCCCACCCCATGGTGGATTCACTTTTTGGGTCCCTGCTGTCCCTTACCCACAGCATTGCCATCCACGTGCCCGAAGCGCCGGTGCTGCTCGGCCACCAGCAGCCGCTGGATCACCTCCTCACGCACCCGCTTGTGGTGGACACAGAGAGCCAGCACACCCAGGCTGTACTGGTAGTAACTGGTGAGAGGATGGCCGTGATGCCGGGAGCCTAGGGACAGAGCACTGCTGTCACCAGAGCCAGCTGCTGGCAGCAGAGCTGCAATGCCAGCACCCATAGGGTGCCCGCTGTGGGTGGGGTACCTCACCTGCCCAATCCTTCTCCAGGAAGTACTTGAGCCACGTTACTGGGAAGCGCTGGGTGGTGGGGTCTGCAGGGGGGCAGGTGGCACGCAGCCCCAGCAGGTAGAGAGCCAGACGTCCCGTCTCCGGCATGGAATCCCTGCGGGCAGTGGGGTCAGCACGTGGAGGAGCACGGGAACCACCCTATCCCCATCCCACCACCTACGTGTCGCGGTGCCGATGGCCATGGGACGGGCGGCTGGCTGCGTGCAGACTCCTGCAGGGATTGGCATCAGTGGGACCACAAAAGGGACAGGGGCCGTCCCGCTGTGACAGCTGGGGACCTACCGGCCGTAGCGTCCCTGGAAGGCGTCCTGCAGGCGCTGCAGGTAGCGCTGCTCCATGCTCAGGTCGTGCTCGCTGCCGAGGCGCAGCCCCACGTAGACCCCGGGGTCGGCATCCTGCCCCGGCTCCATCGCCAGCCCCAGCAGCCGTGCAGTCAACGCCCGCACCGCCACCGCTGCCTCTGCTGGAGCTTCTGTTGCCGGGGATCCCCGTGAGGATGGGGGCAAGGAGTGAACGCAGCCCAGCGCCGGGGGACGTGGGGAGGACAAAGAGCGGCGGTGGCGGTGGGGAGCGGAGCGTCCTCACCCCGATGTGCGCCCTCTACCCCGTCAAGCTGAACCCCCAGATTTTGCACAACGCTGAGGGAGAAGCCGAGCACAGAGGGGACACGAGGCAGGAAAAGGGAAAAGGGGAACAGGGGAAACTCAACGCCCGGCACCACTGCGCTCCCACCCACAGCCTGGCCCCAGGAGCCCCGCGTTGGAGCATGGATATGAAGCATTGGGGCGGCTCAAACTCACCGCAGGGCCGGGCGGGCAGCACCGCAGCCTGCAGCAGGGCCAGGAGCAGCCACATCGCGGCGAGGGAACGGCGGGTGGGTGACAGCGAGTGACAGCGAGTGACAGCAGGCTGAGCGGCGCCGAGCAGGAAGGCGAAGAGTGAGGCAGTTCCGCACTCCGGGGCCGAGTCAGCAGAAAGGGGCGAGGACTTTGGCTGGAAACGAGAGCGGGGCGCAGATAAGGAGGAGCAGATGGGGTGGTCACGACCCCGTGCACCGGGTCAGCCACAGAGCGGGGCAGGTCAGGGGCACCGAGCAGGAGACGGGCCGGTGGCACAGGAGCGTGACGGGACGCCGGCGGCCCCGGGGAGGGGTTACGGGAACAGCGGGGCTCAACGCAGAGCCGCGGGGTTGGCACGTGGTGGGCAACGCGCCCATCCTTCGGCCCAGCGCCCACCAGCCACCGCACCGAGCCAAAGCCACGCCCCCTGCCGTAGCCACGCCCACAAATCGCGACCTCGCCGAGCATGAAGCCACGCCCCTCTGTCGTAGCCACGCCCACAAAACATGGTCTCGCCCCCGTTGTGGGCACGCCCACAAAACTTGACCACGCCCCCTGCGCGACGCCAGCTCCCCTGCGGTGGCCCCGCCCCTCTCTTCTCTCCGTCCCAGCGTGCCCCGCGTCGAAGGACCCCGCCGGCCGGCTTGGAGCTGCCCGCGGCGCGCCTGAACGACAGCCTCCCTTCACCGCTCTCCGTCCCCGCGTCTCACCCGCACCCCTCAGCCTCCCTGCAGCTCGGGGCTGCGCGGACCCGGCGGGGTTTCGGCGCAGGCGCGGACCGGCGCGGTGCAGGCAGTGCGAGGGCAGCCCGGGTCCTTCGGCGCGGCGGAGCACGCGGCGGTGGCAGCGGGGCCATGGGCGGGCTGGAGAAGAAGAAGGTAGCGGGGGGTACGGCTGTGTGCCGGCCCCACGGCTCTCCCTGTTTCCCCCAGCATGTTCCCCCCTTTCTCCTCTCCTTTTCCTTATCCCCACCCCTCGCGGTTTCCCTCCAGGTTCCCCCATTTCTCCCCGTTCTCCAACCCTCCCCCCATCTCCCGGTACCCCCACGTGCATCCCGTGCACTCGGTTCTCCCCCCCGTGACCCCTCTGTGTTCCCCCCCCAGTACCAGCGGGGCTCTGCCACCAACTACATCACCCGCAACAAGGCACGCAAGAAGCTGCAGCTCAGCCTGCCCGATTTCAGGTGGGTCACGGGGCTGCCTGCAGCACAGCCCCATTGCCTGCCATGCAGTGGCCGGGGTGATGGCAGCAGGCTGACATCCCACCCCTCCTCAACAGGCGCCTCTGCATCCTGAAGGGGATTTACCCCCATGAGCCCAAGCACAAGAAGAAGGTGAACAAAGGCTCCACCGCGGCACGGACTTTCTATCTCCTCAAAGACATCAAATTCCTCCTCCATGAGCCCATCGTCAACAAGTTCCGGGAATACAAGGTAATCAGTGCACTGAGCTGGGGGCTGTGTTGGCCCTGCAGTGCTCTGAGCCCTGCTCTGCCTGCAGATCTTTGTCCGTAAGCTGAGGAAGGCATACGGGAAGAGTGAGTGGGGCACGGCGGAGCGGCTGAAGGACAACAAACCCACCTACAAGCTCGACCACATCGTGAAGGAGAGGTGAGCCCACAGGGTCCTCACTGAGGCCGCCCCTCTTCAGCAGCACCCAGAATCACAGAATTGCCAGGGTTGGAAGGGACCTCAAGGATCATGAATCTCCAACCCCCCTGCCACACCCATCCATCTCTGGGCATTGCTGGGCATCGTGTAGAGTTTCTGGGTTTGTAGAGAAGCTCGTGAGATGTGAGCAGTCGGGGAGTTCTTGGCTATTGTGAATGGCTCCAGGATCTCCATGATGACACTGAGAACTTTCCCATCCTCCCCTGAGAGTTTTCCATTGACACTCTGGGAGAAAGACCCAGCGTGCCCATGCATGTGGTTAATTTAGTGGCAGAGGAAAAGGAGATGACCCACAAGAGAGAGGAGCTGCTCTGGCAAATCTCTGTGTTGTGCCGGTGGTGTATGGGAACTGACTGTGCCAGCAGGGAGAGAGGAGCAACCCTGGGAGCCAAGAGCAGCCCTGATGTGATTTATGCCATGGTGAAGGTGTTCTGTTGGAGCTGTGGGGTCTCACAACTTCCTCCTGCCCCAACACATGCTCGGGGCTGTCACCTCAGGGCAGGAGATGACAAGCTGGGTTTGTTGTCCCCCAGCTAGGGAGGTTCCTGACTCCCAGGGCAGTCCTGAGCCCTGCAGTGCTGTCAGAAGGACTCTGTGAGACTCTGGATGCCCAGCAGGGATGCCCTGTCCCCACAATTGCCTGGCATTCCACACTGACTGCACTTGCCCATCCCTTTGTTGCATGAAGTCCCCACCAGCTGCTGCAGCTCTGTAGCTTTGGGGCTTTGGAGCCAGGTGTGATGGCACCATTTCCTCTTGCCTGGCTGCAGGTACCCAACCTTTGTGGACGCACTGCGGGACCTGGATGATGCCCTCTCCATGTGCTTCCTCTTCTCTACCTTCCCACGGACGGGCAAGTGCCATGTGCAGACCATCCAGCTGTGCCGACGCTTGGCTGTTGAGTTCCTCAACTACGTCATCGCCTCCCGCTCACTGCGCAAGGTGGGGACTCCAAGGAGGGATGGGTCCTGCTGCCTGTCCCCAGTGCTCCTTTACATCCTTGCTGTCCAGGGAAGGTTGGTAAAAACCAGGAGCACGTGTAGCATTCATCACGCTCATTTCCCACCAGGTGTTCCTCTCCATCAAGGGTATCTACTACCAGGCAGAGGTGCTGGGGCAGCCCATCACTTGGATCACCCCTTATGCCTTCGCCCACGATGTGAGTACACAAGACCTGTGCTGTTATTGCTGTTCCCTTCCCTAGGGCTGGGGTGGGGTTTTGGGGACGTCTGCTCGCTCTTCTGCCAAAGAGATAAAACAGGTGAAGGCCAGGAGGCCTTTGGCAGCTGTGTATGGCACAGCCCCTCCTATCAGACCTCGGTGCTGGGCTCTACCAGTCTACCCAGCTCTTTCTTTTCTCTTTTTGTCAATTATTAAAATGTACTCTGCCCACGAATTGAAGATTAACTGGCAGTTAGCTCAACTGGAGGTGTTAGGGTGAGTTGATTCCTGTATCATCTTTGCAGGGTGGTAGGGCAGCACACTCCTTGTGCAGCCATCCCAACAAGTAGAGCTGTTGGTGCTGCTGGGCCAGAACTGCTGGCACACAGGAGCTCATAGTTGCTGCAGTTCTCTCCTTTTGTCCCATGGTTTTTGGGATTTGGTTAGGTCAGAACATTCCTAGTTTGTGGCCTTTGGTACAGCCCATGGCAGTGTCACCTCCGCAGCATCCCCTCACTGAGCCCAAAACCTTCCTTGATCCCTTGCATTCTGGCTGTCATGGGGCTGGCTGCATTCCTGCTGTGTTTCAGCTCCCTGGCCCTGCTATTTCTTATCATGACCTGCATGTATCACCTGGAGAAGCAGCTTCATTCACTGAGCTGGCACTGGGTGGACAGCACCCTGTCCCTTATTAGGGAATCTGCTCCTTCATCTTTGTGTCCTTCCCTTCCCCGTGTGCCCACAGCACCCAACAGACGTGGATTATCGTGTGATGGCTACCTTCACTGAGTTCTACACCACCCTGCTGGGCTTTGTCAACTTTCGTCTCTACCACTCACTCAACCTGCATTACCCACCCAAGGTAAGGCCACCACCTGCCCTGGGGACACGCCAGGCTGGTGGAAGACCCTGCTGCAGGGAGCATTGCTCCCGGGGACTTGTATGGGTGATGGAAGGGCTGAGGAGGAGGATGTTTGGGCAAACCACGCTTGGGAGCTGTCTCCCCACCTTTCTGTTTGTCTGCAGATCGATGGCCAAGCTGAGGTTGAGCTAAAGCCTGCGGAAGGCAAGGAGTATGCCATGGATTCAGAGAGCTACTTGGAGGTGAGGGGCACTGCTACCACCATGGTCAACATGAGGAGTTTGTGTGCAAGGACACTGTGTGTCCTCAGTGCCCTGGCTGGGGACCCCTCCTGGTGTGGGGCAGTGATGCAGGGGCTGAGGAGCAGAGCCTGACCCATGCATGGTGGAGATCCCAACTTCTCATCCCTTCACTGTGGCCAGAGGAGGAGCTGTGCTTGGTCTTGGGACTTCCTCTGTGATGAGCCCTTTTCCCATTCCAAAGCCCTGGCTGAACCTTACATCTTGGTCTCCTCTGGTTGCAGAAACTGTCAGCTCTGAGTGCCAGCCTGGCACGTGTGGTGGCCCCAACCCAAGAGGATGATGTGGAGATGGATGAGTTCCCTGTGGAGGGGGTAAGAGCCTGGTGGCCAGGACTGACCCACACTGTGTGCTGTCTTGTCCTCAGCACATCTTATGGCTGAGAGAAGGCTGTCAGTGCCTGGTGTGGGACGAGGGGGGCTGGCAGGAGAATGGGAGACAGTGTCTGAGAGCAGAGAGGGGCTTGGCTGTGCTGCATGTGGGGAAGAGATTTGACTGCTTTGCCCCCGAGCAGGAGACTGCTGAGCAGATGGATGCAAGGAGAAAGGAGCAGGAGGCCCTGGAGAAGCACAAAAAGCTGTTTGAAGGGCTGCGTTTCTTCCTCAACAGGGAGGTGCCTCGAGAGCCCCTGGCCTTCATCATCCGGTACGTGGTGGGAGGTGTTCTTGCAGCTCTAACACCTCGTGCTGTCCTTCCCTGTCCTCTCCAGTAGCATTGCTGAGGCCACTGTGACCCTGAGAGTATCTGCTGTGTGACCAACCGCTTGGTGTGTTTGACTGGCAGGTGCTTTGGTGGCCAAGTGTCCTGGGACAAGTCCCTGTGCATCGGTGCCACTTACGATGTGAGCGACCCATCCATCACCCACCAGATTGTTGACCGGCCCCAGGTGGAGCAGCAGGTTGTGGGCAGGTGAGCCAGGTGTCCTGTCCCCAGCCATCTGGGCTGGTGGATGTTTCTGAACTCTCCCTTGCTCTGTCTGCTCCCAACCATTTCACTGCAATCTTGCAGCTCCTTGGACACCAGAGGATGGGGCAGGAAGACAATCTGACCCCTAGCCTTGTAACCCTCTGCCCCCAGGTATTACCTGCAGCCTCAGTGGGTTTTTGACTCAGTCAATGCCAAGCTGTGCCTCCCTGTAGCTGATTATTTCCCTGGTGTGCTGCTGCCCCCACACCTCTCACCCTTCGTGACAGAGCAGGAAGGAGACTACATCCCTCCAGAGAAGCTGAAGTTGCTGGCCATGCAGCGGGGCGAGGACCCAGGTGATGTGAGGCTCCCTGAGCTGGAGAGAATCCAGGCAGTGCTGCTGCTTCAGCGGAGCTCTGCCTGCTGCAGGGCCACCGTGCTCCATGATCAGTAACAGTGATCTCTCCATAGGGGAAGAGAGTGAAGAGGAGGAGGAGGAAGAGGAAGAGGAGGATGACAATGATAAAGAGGAGGAAGAGGAGGAGGAAGATGAGTCCGAAAAGGAAGAGGAGATGAAATTGAAGAAGATGGAAGAGCAGAAGACTCAGAGCAACAAGGTGCAGTACATGGCAGTGGGATCACAGAATCACAGAATGGCCAGGGTGGGAAGGGACCTCAAGGATCATTAATCTCCAAGCCATCTGGTCTGGGGGCGATCAGAGAGGATGCTGTGTCTCTTGTATTACCACTGACCAGTGTGGATGTGCCCCTGGGGAAGGGCTGGCTCCTGGCACACACAGCCCTGAGCTCTCTGCTCTCTGCAGGCACTTCCCGTGAAGGTGACTGCTGGCAAAGTGCGGCTGGAGGACAAGCAGCGCCTGGAGCAGGAGCAGCAGAGTGAGGAGAAGCGCCTGGCCATCATGATGATGAAGAAAAGGGAGAAATACCTCTACAAGAAGATCATGTTTGGAAAGAAACGCAAAATCCGAGAGGTATGAATGTAGGGATGCCCCAAACCATGGATCCCTGTGCTAGGTCATCCCCAAATCAGTTTGCAGATGAAGATCTATCCTGGTCTGTCCTCATCTTGTAAGGAAGGAGTGACCTCTGAGGCCTGTGCCTCCCCAGCTTTGTTTGCAGGAGGGAGCTTTGCCCATAGCCTTGCAGCCCTGGTCTCCCTGCCCTGCTGTGAGGCTGGGTAGAGCTGAATCCCTTCCTCCAAGGTGACTGCACCATCACAGACTGGCCCCACACTGCGTGCTTTGGGTTTTTGTTTCCTCTCTGTACACAGTGAGGCAGTAAGGATGTTGATCTCTGGTGCACAAAACTGAGACTGTACAGGCCTCTTCCCTAGCATTACCAGGCTGCAGGCATTCAGACTCCCTGAGCAGAACTCCCTGTGCCTGCCTGGGGCCTTAGCACGTGGCCAGCAAGTGAAGCTCAGGGCACCACTGCTTGTCTCCATCCCCTGGTATCGAACAACTCAGTGGATCTGAGGCTGGAGCAGCTCTTGGTGTGTGGGGACAGACCTGACTGTGGGTCTTGGGTTTCTGTGCAGGCAAACAAACTGGCAGCGAAGAGGAAAGCCCACGACACTGCTATGAAAGAGGAGAAGAAGAAAACCAAGAAGGCACGACATGCGTGATGAGACTTTGGGACCCCAAGGAGGGACTAACTCTTCCTGGCTGGAATGGCTGCAGTGCCCATCATTTGTGGGTGAAAAACCCTCAGCTTTCCTCTTGGGACAGAAATACTAAATTAAAATATTGCCCATCAGTAAATACACCTTCTGCTGTGCCTTATCCAGGACTCTCTCCACGCAGGAAGTGGAGGAGTGATCGTCAGTGCCATTGCCTGTCCTGAGAGTCAGTGATGTGGGCACATCCTCTTTGTGCTCTTTCAGCATCCTTAGGGCAGCGTGTGGTGTCTGAAGAACTGGAGACTAAGGGAAGCTCTGGGCTCTTGCAGCTCCCTCCCTCTGGCATTGCTCACTTTGCACACCTGCAGCCCTGGGATGTGCAGACTGCCCCTGTTCCACCTGCTCTGGGGCTGGTGGCCTTGCTGGGACCTGGTGGTGATGTGTTCAGAGGGGTGAGGGGTCCAGCATGAGAAGCAGGCTTTGTGCTCAGCATTGGAGAGGAGCCCCCCTGCCACCCAGAACTAAGCTGCTCTCCACTACCTGCTTTGTAGAGGTTGTATTTGGCCTCTGCTATTGTATTGCAATCTTTTTTTTTTTTTTTTTTTAATTAAAATGTGATGCTTCCCCTGTGCCATGTGTTGTCTGTACCTTTGTGGCAGGGCTATGGTGCAGTGGTGTGTGCCCAAACCCTGCACTCAGCCAGGAGCTGGGGATCAGCCCATGAAAGTCACCCAGGGCTGGAGGTGACTCAGCCCACAAGCTCAGTGGCAGTGTTCTCACCTTGCACCTTCTCACTGTGCACCATGCCCTGTTCCAGCTCTGTGCAGGTCTGCTCTGTCCCTGCTGGCTGCTGTCACCTCCCAGAACTGAGCTCGCAGGGCTCACTGTGTGTTCCTGCACTGGAGAGGCACAGCCTGGGGGCACCCAGAGAGCATGGGGCTGCTTCCACCATCCCTTGGGAGCAGCATGGAGGTCACAGAGGGTTGCCCAGCAGTGTGGAATGTGGGGAGAGCCCACAGGATGTGGTCCTGAGCCTCGCAGAGCAGTGTGAGATCAGGTTAGACCTGGGTACCACCATTATGGTGTACATTCTTTTCTATGCTCCTTTGCTGCCTTCTTTCCATTCCTCTTTCCTTTTTTTTTTCTCCTTTCCTTTTTTTTTTTTTCCCTCCATTCCCATTTTTTCCTTCCTCCTTTTCTTCCCCTTTTTCCTCCCTTCTTTCCTTCCTTTTTTGCTGCAGAGACTACCTTCAGAGCAAGTAAGACTACACTGGGCAAGGGATCTGGAGTGAAAAAGGCCAATAATAAAGCTCTTCTTAAGGCTTTTTTGAAGCCAGCAGCAGTGCTGCACTTGTGCTGGGGGGCTGGCAGCTTGAGGGCAGGCTGCTGGGTGAGCAAAGGTGGAGCTGACACATTCCAAAGCTGGTTAGGTCCATTGATGATTTCCCATTACTCATAGTTCAGGTGGGCAGTGATGAAATTGCCCACAGAAACCTACAGACTACGAAGAGATTTCAGGGGTTTAGGGGCGTTTAGTTCAAAGAGCAGGAGCTCAAGTGATTTTTTGTTCTGTACCTTCAGGAGCAGTGAGGGACACGGGGCAGGCTTGGAAAGCACAAGCAATGAATAATTGGCTCAGAGGCTGATGTCGAGCCAGAAGCTTTGCGTTCTTTGATCACGAGGCAGTTTGCTTGGCCCTTGGCTTGTTGTCTGTTAATGGAACCCATGCATCTCATGGGGGGCAACAAATCCTAGTGCAGGAGCTAGCAGGGCTTATTGAAAGAGCTTGAAACTAGCTATGATGGGGGAAGGGGACCAAACAGGGCTCACCCTAGATGAGCCTAGGGGAACGATGCTTGAGCTGGGGGTGAGACAGGTGGCTCAGCTAAAGTGCATCTATACCAACGTATGCAGCAGGAGCTGGAAGCCACTGTGCATCAAGCTAGCTATGACCTAGTTGCTATTACCAAAACGTGGTGGGACCACTGCCATGGCTGGGGTGCTGTGATGGATGGCTACAAGCTCTTCAGAAGAGACGGACGAAGAAGGAAGGGTGGTGGTGTGGCCCTTTATATTAAAGACTGTTTTGGTGTTGACGAGCTTGGGTTTGGGAATGATAAGGTTGAGTTGTGTGTGGGTAAGGATCAGGGGAAGGTCTGTAGGGTGACATCTTGGTGGGGCTCTGTTACAGACCTTCTAATCATGATGAAGGGATGGATGAGGCGTTCTATGAGCAGCTTGCTGAAGTCGTGTGATCACCAGCACTTGTTCTCATGGGAGACTTCAAATTCCCTGATACATGTTGGAAATACAATACAGCACAGAGGAAGCAGTCCAAGAGGTTTCTAGAGTGCATGGAAGATAGCTTCCTTACGCAGCTGGTAGGAGAGCCTACCAGGGGTGGTGCCCTGCTAGACCTGATCTTCACTAACAGCAAAGGACGGGTGAGATGTGAAAGCTGGGGCCTTGGGCAGAGCAACCATGGAATTGTAGAATTCTCTATTCTTGGCAATGTCAGAAGGGTGACCAGCAAAACTGCTATCTTGAACTTCCAGAGGGCAGACTTTGATCTGTTCAGGGCGCTTGTAGCACGGGTCCCTTGGGAGTCGCTCCTTAAGGGTAAAGGGGTCCAGGAAGCCTGGATGCTCCTCAAGATGGAAATCTTAAGGCACAAGAACAGGCTGTTCCTGAGTGCCGTAAGGCGAGCTGTAGGGGAAGAAGACCAGAGTGGATGAATCTGGAACTATTGTTGAGACTCCAGAAGAAAAAGAGAGCTTATGTCCTCTGGAAGAAGGGACAGGCTGCTTGGGGAGATTACAAGAAGGTTGCTAAGGTATGCAGGGAGGAAGTTAGAAGGCCAAAAGCCCAACTTGAACTCAGATTGAACTCAGATGCAGTAAAAGAGAATAAGAAACCCTTTTACAAAGGTAAGAGAAGAACCAAGGAGAATTTCCATCCTTTACTCGATGCAACAGGGAATGTGAGCACTGAGGACAAGGAGAAGGCTGAGGTCCTCAATGCCTTCTTTACATCTGCCTTTAATGAGCAGATCAGTTTTCCTCAGGGCACTTTACACCCTGATCTGGAAGTCTGGAGATGCTATGCAGAATACACCCCCAGTGATTCAGGTGATGGTTGGAGAGCTCCTCCTCCATCTGGACTGTCACAAGTCCATGGGACTGGATGGGCTCCACCCCAGTATGCTGAGGGAGATGGAGAAGGTGATTCCCCACCTCTCCACCATCTATCAGCGCTCCTGGTTATCTGAAGGGATCCCAGAGGATTGGAGGCTCGCTGCTGTGACTCCCATCTACAAGAAGGGCTGTAAGGAGGATCCGGGGAACTGCACACCTGTCAGCCTGACCTCGGTACCAAGGGAAGTTACGGAGCAAATCATCTTGGGTGAGATCACACGGCTTGTGTGTGGTGTCCTGGGGATCAGACCCAGCCAGCATGAAAGGTTCATGAAAGGCAGGTCGTGCTTGGCCAACCTCATCTCCTTCTACGACTGGGTGACCAGATTGATAGATGAAGGAAAGGCTGTTGATGTAGTCTACCCAGACTTCAGCAAAGCCTTTGACATGGTCTCTCACAGGCTTCTTCTGGGGAAACTGGCTGCCCATGGCCTGCCCGAGGGCAGGGAGGCCCTGCAGAGGGATCTAGATAAACTAGGCTGAGGTGAATGGGATGAGGTTCACCAAGGCCAAGTGCCGGGTCCTGCACTTTGGCCACAACAACCCCAGGCAGCGCTACGGGTTGGGGACGAGAGGCTGGATGACTGGAAGAGGAAAGGGACCTGGGGGTGTTGTACCAGAGGAGGTTTAGGTTGGACATGAGGAAGAACTTCTTGTCTCAGAGTGGGCAGGCACTGGAATGGCTGCACAGGGAGGTGGTGGAGTCTTGAACACCGTGTTCAGGAGGCATCTGGATGAGGAGCCACGAGATATGGGTTGGTGCTTGTGGTAGCAGTGGTAATGGGAGGGCAGTTGGACTGGATGATCTGGTAGGTCCTTTCCGACCTCATGATTCTATGAGTCCTTTTACCCCTCTCCTTTCCTTCCTGTTTTTCCTCTCTCCTTTCTTTCTCTCCCCCCCTCTCCCCTTCTCCCCCCAGCCTCCCCCCACCCAGGCTCACTCAGTCCCCTCTGCAGCTCCTCCCTGGCCCAGGCTGCCCTGTGACCCCACACCCAGCACAGCCTCCACCCTGAGGCCTCACAGGTGCCCCTGTTGTGCCGCCAGGCCGAGGGCACAGCGCTGTGTGGTCGGTACCGGGGCCTGGGGAGGGAGGGAGAGGGAGAGGAGCACGTCTGCCCCTGTGACGTCTGTGTTCTGTGCCTTCTGGCCCATTATGGAGAGCAGAGCGGGCACCTGTGAGGGTTAGGGGGGGTTTGGCTGCGTTCTCTCAGGGGTTGGTGTTTGGCTGTGCTGCCTCCTGGGGATTTTGCAGCACGCCTTGTTACAGAACGTGGTGATACAGGGCTGCTGTGGGGACAGAAGTGACCACGGCCTGGTTGCGTGCCCGCAAGCTGCCACTTCCTCCTCCTTCGCCATCGCTGCCAGCATTCCCCAATCACAGACGGGCCATAAAGCCGTGTTTCCCCATGTTTGTAAATCCGTGTTCAAGTCGAGCCCTCTCCTGTTCCCTGTTCCAGCAGGTGCCTCCCCAGCAGCTGGTGGTGGATGGGGAGCAGTGATAAGAGCACCCTGAGGCAGTGGCAGTGGCATCCTGGAGCTGCAGTGCGTGGCAAGGTGAGTGTGCACACACAGGGCCTCTTCCCACCCCACTGCTGCACTGCGCTGGGTTTGGGGCGGATTCGGTGTCATTCCTAAAACAGAATTCCTAAAAGAGGGCTGTGAGAGCTGATATCAAACACACGGTTTGCTTTGGTTGTGTCCCATGGCTGTGAGCATCACTATGCAGATGGGAGTGAGCACACTGCCATGTCCCATCCACAGCTATGGGTGCTGTGGTGAAAATCCTCCAGAAAGGAAAACCCAGCAGGAAGAAGGGAGAGCAGAGAGCTTCAGAGAAGGAGTGGGACATGAGAAAGGCCAGGGCTCCTTCTCCTGGCTGAGATCTGGCTAAGAAAGCTGTCAGATGGCACTGGGACCTATCCATGATGGGAAGCACCAGGTACAGGGATGGAAAGGCAGCTCAGCTGGAAACAGGTGCATGATTTAATCCAGTGCCATGTGTGCTTCACGTAGAGTATCTGCTGTGACAGACGTGCCACAGGTGGAGAGATGGGTCATAAATCACTGGCACGAATCCAGTCGGGGCTGGGCGCAGTGGGGAATGCATCAGACTGGAGCTGGGTGCTGCCACCTGTTTTCCCCAGGTTTTGCTGTGTGGGGCAGCCAGGTGGAAGTCAAAGGAACCTCTCTGGGCTGCTCAGTGCCCTGAACCAACCCATCAAGGGAGAAACCTGGTCCTGTCCCCACCCAGGCTGGAGGGAAGCATCCCCTGCCTTCCCAAGACATGCTCTTCTCCTGTGCCCCAAAGAAGGCTGTGCCATCTCATGGGGTTTTTAGGGGACACCTTGTCCCCAGCTGTAGTGAAGGCTGTGCCATCTCAATCCATCTGTGGATGCATTCGTTTCTCTCCTCTGGCTATGGAGAGCCCAGGATGGCTGACACAGGCTCAGGCTTTTATTTTGAAGATTCTGAGGTTGCATACACGGATTCCCTCATCCTGTGACATTGCAGCTGGGGACACCACGAGCTGTGTCCCAGGAGAGCAGGGACCTGCATTCCCCATAGCCAGTGCCTCCATCACACCCGGGAGCAGGGGACAGCTCTCTACTCCTCTTTTTGCTGCAATGGAGAACATTCTTGCTTTTCTTGTTTCTGGGCTCAATGCAATGGCTGTGATGCAGCAGCAGCAGCTTTGCATTGTCTGCCTTCCGTTGGTGTGAGGGATGCAGAGCCCCGGCTGGTGGGAAGCATCCGGCACACAATGATCCCTTCTGTGGCTGCTGGTGGGGTGATGTGGGACGGAAATGCTGCTCACCAGCTTCCTCACTGCCCTGCTGACATTGCTATGGAACACAGGAGCCATGGAGTGCATGGCCTCTGACCCACCATGCACAAAGGGAGGCTGGTTCCCACCAAACAAAACCCTTGCACCCCAGAAAGCAGCAGAGATCCTGATTCCCCTTGGCGTACCTTGGGTGCCCTTCTGGGTGTCCACGTGAGCACCTGCCTTCCCTGTCCCGTGGCAAGTGATGAACTGGAGAGCAGAGAACATGGGCATTGCTATTGTGGGGCCATAAAAGCCAGGGAGAGATGCCAGGCAACAAGGAGAAGCAGAGGTCAGGCAGTTCCAGTGGTGAGAACACCCAGCCTGGAGCCACTCCCCATACGGAAGAGCTCTTCCCATAGAGCTGCATGGAGACGAGATGCCTCTGAGAAGAAACAGCCACCACTCCTATGGGCTGGGGGCCAAAAAGCAGCGAGTCACCGAGCGAGCACCGCCAGCACTCACTGGCTGTGTTCGACCTCTCCTTGGTGCTCACAGGGCAAGGTGCTCCAGCACCTCCAGCAGCCCCACCAAGCTCCCAGGAACCCCCCCCCATCCCAACCCCATAACTGGGGGTGCCGGGTTGGCAGCACCAGGCCGGGCCTGGGCAGGCTCAGCTCTGGCTGCAGCGAGCCGGGGCACTCGGCCACAATGTCCCCGTTGATGGCGGTGGCGCAGATGGAGACAAACGGCCCCGTTGTTGTGCGCGCGGGGTGGCAGCGGGGTGAATGAGCCCTCTGTGCTCCGGCGGTGGGTGGAGAGACGGAGGAGAGACGGCGCTCGGGGTGGCAGCGGGAGCCTCGCTCCACGCCTCGAACCGGCAGCTCTGGGGAAGGAGATCCTTCTTATTTGGCTTCCCCATCCCCACCGGGTCGGGTGAGCTGGAGCTGCCGTTTAGGGGATGGCGTAGGGTCGGGGCAGCTGCCGCAGGCTGCTTGGGGAGAGCCTGTTCCATGTCGGAGCAGCATTGCTCCCCCCGCTCCGCGCCCCGGCCATCCCAGGAGAGGAGAAGGACGGACTGCAGGGAGCAGCTGGAGCAAAGGAAGAGGTGATGGGGGGCTGAGGACGCGGGGCCTGGCACAGGGGGGTCGCGGGAGGCGAAGGGCGGGTGGGTGCCGGCACCCGTGGCATGAGATGCCAAGGCATGGGGGATGGGAGGAGCGTGCCCGTGATGGGCATAGGGTGAGGAGAGCCTGAGCCAGAGCTGCCGGGGGCTGGAGGCGGTGGTGCCTTGTGTGCGGTTCCCTAAAATTCAGCTTGCGAAGGGGTCGGTGCCCGTAAGGGAAAATCTAGGGGATGGCTGCTGCGGGGAGCATCGGACCCGCGGGGATGCGGGGCTGGGGCTGGGACGTGGATGTGCTGGGGGCCATGGTTGGCACGACCACGTCCTCGCACTGCGGCTGCCGGCTGCAGTAGGGCTTTCCACCCAACGGATGAGAGCCGGCGCCAGCAGCCGCTCCGCTGCGACGGGAGCCCCAGGACAAAGCTTCCACTTCGGCATTTCTCCTGCCGAGCTATTAATAATTAAGCCACTCATTTAAGGCAAAGTCAATAGAGTAACTGGGCTGGGAACTGTTTGCAAGAAACACCCCGCCGGAGGCGGCCCGGGTGGAGCTCAGCATCCCCTTGGCATCCCTGCCAGCGGGGCCGGGTGCCGGCAGCCATGGGGATGCTGCGGGCGGCTCGGCCGTGCTCTCGCCATCATTCCTGCCGCTCGGAAAGCCCAGGGAGCAGCGCCCGGCTCGGAAGAGGTCGGTGAGGGCGAGCCGTGCCCGGCGTCTGGTTACGCTTCCCATCCATTATTCATCGAGATGGAAATCTCAGCTGCGGCGTGGCTCGCTGCCCTCCGCCGGGACAGGGCAGGAGAGATGCAGGCGGAGGACGGAGCCAAGCGCTGCGGGGAGGCTTCGTGCACAGCGGGGCGAGACGACGCCGGGGGCCCGGTAGCGTTTCCGCGTGGTTTTTCTCTGTAAAAACCCCCTGGAGGTCTTTGCTGCTCGCTGTACGTGCCAGGCTGCAGGAACCGCAGCGGGTGTTTGCGTCGCGTTATCCGGAGGGCGGCCCAAGGGTGCGAAGGACGGATGGAGGCCATCTGGGTGTCGGATGGAAGGCGGGTAGGGCGGCTCGGCCGCTGTCCCTATGGGACGCCTCTGTGCGTCCTGCTGGGAGCGCAGCCCTGCTGCAATGTGGCACCTGGGCAGCCCCGCTGCGGTGTGCGGTGCTGGGGAGGAAGGGGGGGGGATATGCATGCAAATGTGTCCTTGTCTGCAGTGCTGCGGGTGTCTGTGCCCTTGCCTGGAGGTGTGCGTGCACCTATAGCCGTGTCCTTGTGTGTGTGTGAGCCCTGTGTCTGCCTGCACGTGCACAGCTGTGCGTGTGGCCGGGTGTGCAGGCAGGAATGCGTGAGAGGTGTGCGATGTCTGCATGTGTCAAACGCAGAGGTGTGCACCCTGTGTGTGCATTGTGTCCGTGAGCATGCACAGATGTGTGTGTGTGCCCTATGCGTGCACACGTGTGTGTATGTGTGTGCTGCAGGCGGTGCTGCAGGCAGGCTCACGCCAGCCCCAAGTCTGGTGCAGCCCAGAAGCAGGGATCAGGACCTCCACTGCTCAGTGCCAAGTTGTCTCCATCCCAAATGTTTGCTGGCATCGGAGCAGAGCAGTCACCTGTTCTTCCCACCTCAGCTCTTCAGGTTTTGCTTTTGCAAAGGGAATTGCTTTTGGTTTTTGCAGCACAGGGAAAAGTGCTATAGCACGGGCAGAGCTGCAGCACCTTGGCTGCAAATCCCTCTTGGCCAAGGATGAGCCTGGCACTGGTTCTCATCTTCCTAGCCCCTAAAAGCCTCCTGTGATGCTCCGCATGCTTTATTTCTCATTATTTGTCTTCCATAAGCTTTGCTCCCCACACTCCCCATCCCTTATCACCCCGCGTTGCTGACAGCTGTGTCCCCTCTGCCCCTTGCAGGTGACCACGATGCTGCATCAACATGGGAAGCCCTGGAGGTCCATGTGCAAGGGGCTCGTCCTGGGGACCCTCCTGACCAGCTTCATGCTGCTGCTTTACTCCTACGCCGTGCCCCCGCTGCAAGTCAGCATGACAGAGTGAGTGCGGGGACCCCGTGCCACCGCCCTGTGACCCTGGTGGCTTTGCACTGGGATGTCATTGTCCTCACATGACACACCTGGTGCTGTCTGTGTGGTGGGAAGGCTCTTGGGGAGGCTGGGGGTGCTCGCCTTGGGGTGAGGGGGCTGCCAACACAATGGATAATCTGTACCCAAGAGTGTCATGCTTTTTGCTACCCATCCCCTCCAAACCCAGCACTCAGCAGGGCTCAAGTGACAGCTGTTTCCCCAGGAATGGGAGCAGCCTGTCTATGGAGAACATTAACTTTATCCCATTTATAAAACAGCTCTGTGTGGGGGCACTCTGTAAGCTTCTTGCTCCTGTTCTCCTACACTGCAATACAGAGGCATTAGCAAGGATCAGCTCTGCAGCTTCATGGAGCTGCCCGAAGTCACTCAATCCTGGAGCATCTGTTACCAGCTCTGTGCATCTCAGATAGCACAGGGCTTGTTTGTTCTGCTGGCTCCTCTGACAGCCATCACCCGTACAGCCATACCATGGCGTTATGACTCTGCTCACCACTGTCCTCTCTTTCCTCCCCACCAGGATCCCCGTCCCCTCCTGCTCCTCCTCCCAGCTGCAAGCCAAGGGGCCAGTGATAACCAATGGCACGCTCAGCGCTTCGGGAGCCAACTGCCGGCCCAAGCTGGACATCATGTTCATGAAAACCCACAAGACGGCCAGCAGCACCATCCTCAACATCCTCTTCCGCTTCGGGGAGAAGCACCGCCTCAAATTCGCCTTCCCCAACGGCCGCAATGACTTCTACTATCCATCCTTCTTCGAGCGGAGCCAGGTGCAGCACTACCGCCCCGGAATGTGCTTCAACATCATCTGCAACCACATGCGCTTCCACTACGAGGAGGTGCGCAAGCTCCTGCCGGCGGACACCACCTTTGTGACGGTGCTGAGGGACCCTGCCTACCTCTTCGAGTCCTCCTTCCACTACTTCGGGCGCGTCATCCCCCTCACCTGGAAGCTGCCGGGGGAGGACAAGCTGGCCGAGTTCTTGCGGGACCCCTGGCATTACTACGACCCGAACGGGTTCAATGCTCACTACCTCCAAAACCTTCTCTTCTTCGATTTGGGCTACGACAACAACATGAACGCCGACAGCCCGCTGGTGGAGCAGCGCATCCGGGAGATAGAGCAGCGCTTCCACCTGGTCATGCTGCTGGAGTACTTCGACGAGTCCCTGGTGCTGCTGAAGGAGTTGCTGTGCTGGCAGCTGGAGGATATCCTCTACTTCAAGCTCAACGCTCGCAAGGGTTCCACCGTCTCCCGGCTGACGCCTGAGCTCTACGACAAAGCGACTGCTTGGAACCTCATTGATGCCAAGCTCTACCGATATTTCAATGCCACCTTCTGGCGGAAAGTGGAGGCCTACGGAAGGGAGCGGATGGCCAAGGACGTGGCTGAGCTGCAGCGGGAGAATGAGAAGATGAAGAGCATCTGCATTGACGGGGGGCACGCCGTGGACGCCAGCGCCATCCAGGAATCCTCCATGCAGCCTTGGCAGCCGCTGGGGGAGAAATCCATCCTGGGCTACAACTTGAAGAAGAAGATCAACAAGAAGCACCAGAAGCTGTGCCGCAAGATGCTGACGCCTGAGATCCAGTACCTGACGGACCTCGGGGTCAACCTGTGGATCACCAAGCTGTGGAGCCGCGTGCGGGACTTCCTCAAGTGGTAGGAGCAGCAGGTGCCCTGCAGGAGAGCTGGTGGCTCACGTCTTCCTTCCTTCATGTGTCTTTGGTTTAGACACGAGCAGAACACCATGGTGGGTCCCCAGCCAACCCCGGGCACCCAAGAGTGGCGGAGGGGACGTGGGGACCCAGTTTGGAGGAAGCAGGTTGTATGGGTTGCTTGGGGGTTTGAGGTTTTTCCCAACAGGATCCACTTCTTCCTTCCATGTGGAAATGCCAGAGGTGGTATGTGAAGGGCAGGGCCCCATCGTGCCCCTGTTGCAGCGATGGACATCCATCACCACCTCCCTGGAGGTGCACAGCGGAGGTCAAACAGCAGTGGGATCAATGGAGCATGGGGCCAGGGACCTGCAGAGGTTTTGGAGCTCACACTGACTCGCACCCAAAGGGCTGCTTTCACCACTCCCAATCCTTCCATCCCAGATTTTGGGCTCCCTGTCCGAGCCCATCATGCCAAGCATGCTACTTGGGCTTCCTCAGTCCATGGGTCCTCAGTGAACCTGTGGCTGTTGGTCCCCCAGCAAACCCCGGCAGGTTTCTAAGCATTATCCATGCTTGAGTTTGGAGAGCACCAAAACCACCCCAAAGCCTGCGCCAGCAGTGGTCCCCAGCATATCCCCGCAGCACCCCATGGCAGCAGGTCCCCCCAGCATGCTGTTTTCCCAGTTAGAGGACCCCGTGGTGCTGATCCCTCCTAAGGACACTCTGGTAGGACCACGAGGTCTGGTGAGAACTGGGGTGGGGAGTAGGCATGGAGCCCACAGTGCCAGCACCTGGGGTGAGTGACACACAGGGACAGGCAGGAGCAGACTGGGTGCAGCGTGGGGACAGGCTGGGCAGAGCTGGTGGTGGGGACAGCCCCAATGGGGATCACCACATCACAGGGTGCCCTTGGGTGTTCAGGCCGGGCTGGATGACAATGGCATGGGGCAAAGCCGAGAGTGGCCCAGGCCATGGCACCATGTGGCTGCAGGGGTGACAGCAGGTTGTCACCTGCCTGGGGCAGCAGCGGGGAGTCCAGCTCTGTCACCCTCTGTGCATTCATGTTCTGCTCTGTTTGTGAAGGCAAGCAATAAAACAACGACAAAAAAAAAAAAAAAAAAAAAAAAAAAAAAAAGCAATTCTACTTTTGTAAGATAATTGTATTGTATATTTGGCAGTTTTTAATACACCAATGGTCCAGCTGGTCTCTGTTGGTCTTTGTTCTTCTCTATGGGGACTGGATGCAGCTGTGGGGTGTCACTGAATTGGGAAGACCCAAAGATGCTCTCAGGGAGCGGACACTTGGGGGCTGCAAGGAGGCTTCCATGGATCTTCATGGCCTTCTCCAGGTCCCCAGGCCTGACTTAGAACCCATTCACCCATAGAGTGGGGTTAGAACCTCTTGTTCCAACAGCTGCACTTCTCCAGAGCTGGAGCTGGGTGGGTGCCACAGGGGGGAAGGTTGGTGCGGTGGGGAGTGGGACTTGTGAGGTGGGACAAGGGTGGGATGGTAGGGCCAAGATCATAATGGGACTGAGACCATATGTTGGGACCTGTATTGTCCAGTGGGACAAAGAGCATCCATGGGACCACCAGGACAGACTGTGGGACCAAGCCATGCAGCACCACAACAGGGTGATGACACCAAACAGAGTGCAGGATCAGAAGCACATGGTGGGAACAAAACTAAATGGAGGGGTCGGGACTGCGTGAAATTTTACTGCAGAGGACATCAAGCAAATCCCTTTCCTCCTCCACCCCCTCCAAAAAACAAAACAAAACAAAACCCAAGCAGCTCCAGGTGAGGGCAGTTTGCAGCCACCTGCTACTTAAAGGCCTGCAGGGCTGGGGCTGTGCTGCTGCCCTCTGAGGATGAGGCTGTTTTGGGTGCTGCTGAGTGGGGCTGTGCTGGCAGTGGCAGGTGAGTAGGGCTGGTTGTATGGGGGAGGTGGGGAGTGGGTGACCTGTTGCTGGTTCCCAATGTCCTGCTGGTGGAGAGGAGCTCTGTGAGTTCCATGTGTCCCCACTGTGAGCTCCAGGGATACCTGAGGAGCTGCACGTACCTAGTGTAGCTTTGGCACAGCCACCCCAGCCCTGTCAGCCAATCTCTCACCTTGTTGCAGAGACCACCATGGCTCCAGCTGCTCCAGCATCTTCTGGTCACACAGCAGTTGCTCTGAGGGTCTCCCTGGGTATGGGGACACAAACTGTTGCCACCCCACCTGGTGGGCTGTATGCTCAGCCCTGCTCAGAGGAGCCCCCTGTGAACTTTACCTTAAGGCTGCTGGATGGTGAGTGCTCTGTGTTGTGTGTTAAGTGCTAATCTGGGGGGGTGAGACCAGAAGATGGAGGCCAGCAGCCATCCAGCAGGGGATGAGAGCTCTCTCATGTGGAGGCTCCAGAACCTGGGGAGCACTGGAGGCAAAAACCCCTATGGTTGGCGCTCTGAGCCAAATTCTATGTCCCATCTGCAGCAGGATGCTATCCTGAGCCTTCCTTCCCTTCTCCTTCAGGGGACCCCGGTGCCACGAAGAGGCCATTGGTGCTCAGCCGCAGTGCTGTGCTGCACCTGGAGGCCAGGGTGGATGCCAGCCCTGATGTGTCCCCCAGGATCCTTGTGGAGCAGTGCTATGGGATGGGATCAGGGCAGCGGGCTCACCCCAGGAAGAGCTACATGGTGGTGAACAACCATGGGTCAGTGGTGGGGAGAGAGGTGCTGGGGTCAGCCTGGAAATGTCCCCAACTTGTCCTTGGGTCTCCTCAGGTGTCTGCATGGCTCAGGGCTGGGCAGTGTGTCTGTCCAGCAGCAGAAAGGGATGTCTGTCCTCCAGCTCTCCATCTTGGCCCCTGTGCTGGAGGCTGAGCCTGAGGAGGAGGTGAGGTTGTGGTGGAGGCCTGAGTCTTCCCAACAAGCTGTCCCCCTGTGGGCAATGTGCCACTCTCCCCAGCAGCTCCTGCTTCCCAGCGGGGTGGTCAGTGCCCCAGGGGAGGCCACAGAGGTGGCAGTGAGGATGGCTGCTGTCTTGGCAGGTCTACGTGCACTGCCTGCTGTCAGCATGGGGTGCCAGGAGGCACAGCCTGATGTCCTGCTTCTACAATGACACCACAGCCAGGTGAGTTCAACAAAAGGACCCCACTGGGAGGAATTGGGACCCAAAGGGATCTCCATCCATGGGCACGGTGCCATGTGTATCTTGGGGTGGAAGCTGGGGATCCACAGACCCCCAGATGTGTCCTTCTCTCCCAGGTGGCAAAATGCAGAGGATCCCTCCCGGAACACCATATGTGACTGCTGTGACACTCAGTGTCCCCCTGGTGACACCAGGCTTGGAGAGCAGCCAGGTACGTCCCTGGGGGCTGTGCTGGGTGGGGAGGGCTGCAGCCACAGAGGAGCTGTAGGGTGCATGTTTCCTCACAGAGTTCCCAGGAGAAGGGATGCTCCACTGGGAGACAGCGGGTCCGCTGCTGGTGCGGGAGCTGGAGCCGTGGTTTGAAGGTGAGCAAACAACCCTGAGCTTCTCCCCATGACCCCAAATCGACCGACTGCAATGGGAGCAGGGCTCCCCATGCCCCAACCCCACTAACTGCCTTGTCCCACAGCGCCGTGCCGCACGGTGAAGAAGCTGCTGCTGGCCGGGCTGGCCCTGGTGGGCAGCGTTGTGGTGGTGGCCATCACTGTGGGCAGTTTGCTGGGCTTGGGTCTGGCTGCGTGGCGACTGCGGGGGGCACGGCCCGTCCGGCGACCCCCCAGGAGGCAGTGTCCCTTCCAGGCTGAGCTGCAGGCTGTGGTGGGAGCTCTGGTCCCCCGGGAGGAGGAGAAACGTGGAGAGAGTGGGATGGAGTACCGCAGCCTGGAGCTGGGAGTGCTGTGAGATGTTCTCTGCAATAAAAAGTCACTTTTCTTTAAATATGCGGGTTGTTTCCCACTCCATCTCCTCTTGAGGGTGGTATGGGGCACGTAGCCTCCAGGACACAGGATAATGTGACAGCTGGTGCTGCACCTAGCAGGCTGGGGAGGCCTGGGATGCAGGGGTAAGGCTGCATCCTGTAGGACATGAATGCTTATGGGGTTGGGCTGCCTGTCCCAATGGGGGGCGCTGCAAGGAGCCCTACCCTGCATGGGGATGGTGGGCTGGGGGTGCAGGAACCCTGAAGCTCTCACAAGGATGAGACTCCCTGGAGGGTGCTGAGCACTGGGGCAGGACACACTGCCCAGCCTGGTGCCCTCATTAGGGAGCTGTGTCCCCTCCTGACACCCAAACACCATCTGCAGCAGGTAATATTTGAAATAGTTTATTAGGACCAAGTGCAGGGTGCATGCAGCCACTCCGTGGCCAAAACCTGAGTGTGGGTTCACAGTGCAGGGGATGCAGTGCCCCAAAGCCAGCAGTGTGCCTCGGTTTCCCCTCCCAGCTCTGCGTGGTGCTGTAGCTCAGGGTGCAGACGGGGGCTCCTCGGTGCCATACAGCTTGCGGATACTGGAGTCCATCAGGAAATCCACAGACCTGCAGCAGGGTGAAACGCCCCTCGCTGTCACCTTAGAGTCCCCTTGCAATGTGCCCTATCCACCCTCCTGCTGTCACCCCACTAATCCCCATCGGCTCCTCCATCTCCACTGCAGAGACGTATCCCAAGCTCACCCCACGCCATCCCTCCTGGACTGCAGTGGGGACCACAGTGGCTATCCCCACTCATCCCTGTGACTCTCACCTGTCGATGGGGGTGATGATGACAGGGATGGCAGCCAGCCCCAGCGCGGTGGTGGCCCACTTTCGGACAGGTAGAGGCCAGCGGGTGAGGGAGGCCAGCAGGGCCAGCGAGGCGGCACACAGGCGGTTGATGGTGAAGCCTGGGATGGCCACCGAGGCCAGGCTCTGCCACACGAAGGTATCTGCCACCGCCACCCCCACCCGCCGTGCCCTGCCGGGGTCCTGAGCGTGGGTCTGTTGGGAGAGCAGAGCGGGTGTGGGATGGGGGCACGTGGGGGTGTGGGGGCTGCAGGAGGAGCCACTCACCGCCGCAGCTTTCCTGCCCTTGTCGATGGCATCGGCTGTCACGTAGGCTGTGGCCACCCCATAGCTGGCCCACACGGCTGCTACCGGGACGATGGGACGGAAGGACTCGCCCACCTCGTTGGCGTAGCCTGGGGGGGCAGCAGGCGACAGGGAGGCGGTGTCACCCCAACCTCGGGGGTCACCTTGGTCCCAGCGTTGGGACAGCGGGGGGGAAGGTGGTGGCAGCGGGCAGGGTCCGGCCCAGGGGGTTTAGCGGGAGAGGAACGCGGGGACGGAGCGTCCCGGCAGAGCCGGCACCCGGAGCCAGTGCTGGTACCGAGTGCTGGCGGTGTCGGCACTCAGTGCCCGCTGTCACGGTCGGTACCGGGCTCCCCGTGCCAGCCCCGATGCACGGTTCCCGACGCCAGCCCCGGTGCCCGGTGCCGCAGCTCACCCAGGTAGCGGACCCACGTGTCCCGGTAGAGGTCGGGCTCCTCCGCCCCCATGGCGCGCTCCCGCCAGCGCCCGCTCGAAGCCCCGCCCCCATTTTACGTCACCACATCAGGCCCCGCCCCCTTCCTCCGCACGCATCCTTGGCCACGCCTCCTTGCCCGGCTCTAAGATGGCGGCGGGGAAGTCAAGGCCGGGCAGCACGTGACCCGACAGCAGCCGCCACGTGGGTGGGATGCGCAGCCGGGATGTAGAGCTGGGGGGAAACGGGCTGGCTGTGGGCGCACGGCAGGGGAGGGCAGGGGGCCTCATGCGGGGCTGAGGGAGGCAGCTGAGCCTGGGTTATCGGGCTGAGAGGGACAACGGGGTCTGGGTATGGGGCTGAGGGGAGGAATATGGTCTGGTGATGAGGGGAAGCAGGGCCTGGGGATGGAGTGGAAGGACAACAAACAGCCAAGCCATGACACTGTCCCTCTTTACTGCCGCCACCGCACCCAGCCCCACCGCTGGGGGCCACATAAGGCACAGAGGAGCCGACAGCCCCGAGCACAGCCCCCCGGGTCCCTGAGCCACGGGGCAACGGCCCCCCTTCTTCCATCCTCCATGCTGCCATCACGGGCTGTGGTCCAGGGCCATTTCACCCAGCTTGTCCCCGAGCTGCTGGATCTGCTGGGCTGAGGCGGCGTCGGGCAGCAGCACCTCCACGCTGTAGTTCACCTTCTTGGCATGGATGTAGCTGTAGGTGTTGTCGAAGCGCAGGACGTCTGCAGGACCAGG